CGATTTCCCTCGTGAGTCCCCCATAAGCCATCGGAAGGCGGCGTAGAAGAGCCCAGAGACGGCCATGCAGGAAATATGTGTCAGCCGTATAAGGAAAACGTGAATTCACCCCGGGAAAACAGGAACGAGTGAGAAAGAAGCTAAAGGATGACTTGCCTTGATGTTCTTTGGTGCCTGCGGGAGCGAAGAGGAGACACTTTCAGCATTCTGCTACTATAATCGGTACCGACAATGTCTACTATTTCTCGTGTCGGTGGTTTCTCGGCCTGGTCTACCTCAAAGGATTGACGGACGGGGAAGCACCAAAGAAAACATGTAGCACTTCTTAGGAAAACGTGAATTCACCCCGGGAAAGGATGAGAAAGACGCTCAAGGCTGTCCAGCCTTGATGCACTTTGATGCCAGTGGAGCAAACGGGAGACATTTTCAAGATTCTCCTACTATAATCGGTACTGACAATGTCTACTATTTCTTGTGTCATGGTTTCTCGGCCTGGTCTACCTCGAAGGATTGACAGACGGGGACGCTCCAAAGAAAACATGTAGCACTTCTTAGGAAAACGTGAATTCACCCCGTGAAAACAGGAACGGGTGAGAAAGAAGCTCAAGGATGACTTGCCTTGATGTTCTTTGGTGCCCGCGAGAGCGAAGGGGAGACACTTTCAACATTCTGCTACTATAATCGGTACCAACAATGTCTACTATTTCTCGTGTCGATGGTTTCTCGGCCTGCTCTACCTCGAAGGATTGACGGACGGGGATGCTCCAAAGGAAACATGTAGCAGCTCTTAGGAAAATGTAAATTCATCCCAGGAAAGGATGAGAAAGCAGCTCAAGGCTGTCCAGCCTTGATGCACTTTGGTGCCAGTGGAGCAAACGGGAGACATTTTCCAGATTCTCCTACTATAATCGGTACTGACAATGTCTACTATTTCTTGTGTCGGTGGTTTCTCGGCCTGGTCTACCTCGAAGGATTGATGGACGGGGACGCTCCAAAGAAAACATGTAGCAGCTCTTAGGAAAATGTAAATTCACCCCAGGAAAGGGTGAGAAAGGAGCTCAAGGCTGTCCAGCCTTGATGCATTTTGGTGCCAGTGGAGCAAACGGGAGACATTTTCAAGATTCTCCTACTATAATCGGTACTGACAATGTCTACTATTTCTTGTGTCAGTGGTTTCTCGGCCTGGTCTACCACGAAGGATTGACGGATGGGTACGCTCCAAAGAAAACATGTAGCACTTCTTAGGAAAACGTGAATTCACCCCAGGAAAGGGTGAGAAAGAAGCTCAAGGCTGTCCAGCCTTGATGCACTTTGGTGCCCGCGGGAGCAAAGGGGAGACACTTTCAACATTCTGCTACTATAAAGGGTACCGACAATGTCTACTATTTCTCGTGTCGGTGGTTTCTCGGCCTGGTCTACCTCGAAGGATTGACGGACGGGGACGCTCCAAAGAAAACATGTAGCAGCTCTTAGGAAAATGTGAATTCACCCTGGGAAAACAGAAAAGGGTGAGAAAGAAGCTCAAGGCTGTCCAGCCTTGATGCACTTTGGTGCCAGCAGAGCAAACGGGAGACATTTTCAACATTCTGCTACTATAATCGGTACCGACAATGTCTACTATTTCTCGTGTCAGTGGTTTCTCGGCCTGGTCTACCGCGAAGGATTGACGGGCGGGGAAGCTCCAAAGAAAACATGTACCAGCTCTTAGGAAAACGTGAATTCATCCTGGGAAAACAGGAAGGGGTGAGAAAGAAGCTCAAGGCTACCTTGCCTTGATGCTCTTTGGTGCCAGCGGGAATGAAGGGGAGACGCTTTCAAGATTCTGCTGCTGTCATTTAGACCAATAAAGGCTCGCTTGCCTGGCAGGAGGGACCCCCCTCCCCCTTCCAAGGTGGAAAGCTTTCGGGAGAGACCCTCCATTCTGACCCACCCCTTGAGTAGATTTGCCTTGTTTCCTGTCCAGCTCCCGCTCCGCTTTGTGAGTGTGTTGCTGCAAGAACCTGGTGAGGCAGGAGAGGACCAACCAGACCATTCTCGCTCAAATCCCCCCTTCAAAACACACAGCCTCTTTCCAAAGCGAGGAGGAGATTTAATAAAAAGGTTTTCATAAGAAGAACAGACAGGAAGGCGACATAGAAGAGTACAGGGACAGCTTTGCGGGAAATATGTGACAGCCGTATAAGGAAAATGTGAATTCACCCCGGGAAAACAGGAACGGGTGAGAAAGAAGCTCAAGGCTGCCCTGCCTTGATGCTCTTTGGTGCCAGCGGGAGCGAAGGGGAGGCAGTTTCAGGATTCTGTTGGTATTCTCTATATCGAATCGAGCCAAGCTTTAACATTTCTTGTGATGGCGGTTTCCTGGTCTCGTCTACCTTGAAGGACTGATGAGTGGGAAGTCCCAAAGGGAGTGTAGTTCCAGAGGGACATGGGTTCAGGATGGCAGAGATATAGGCTGTGGGGCCGATTGAGGGCAGGAACTTCCCAGGCCCTGTCATCTGAAGGGAGAAACTGGGTTCTCGGCAGAAGGAATCGGCTCAGGGTGACTCCGCCACGAATCTCTGACTCGGCGTCTTGGGCTGGGTTAGAACTCTGAGCAGAAGGGGGGAAACACAGGGCAGAGTGGCCCCCTTGGAGCAGAGGATCAAGTAGAGAGACTTTCCATTGTCCATTAGAGCAGAGGTCCCCGATCTTTTGGGCACCAGGGACCGGTTATGCGGAGACAGATTTTTCCGCGGACCAGAGAGGATGTGGTTTTGTGTGCTGCCTGCAACCTGCGGATGGAGCTTTGCTTGTTTTTTGTGGAAAGGTTGCTGGCATGCTGCGGACTGGGGGTTGGGGACCTCTACATTAGAGAAGAGAACACCAAGAGAAGCCATATATCTCTTTGATGTCGTTTATGTCTGCCTTCGGCGGGTCTTCCGGTGTCCGTTAGAGAATAGAACACCAGACGTGTTTCACCTTATATTTCTCTTCGTCTTTCTTCATCATGGCCTCCGTGTAATAATTTGCCCCTTTGTTCTTCTCCACCAGCTCATCAATCATGGTCATCAATTCGGCCAGCTGTTCCTCCCGCTCTTCACCTTTGGCCTTGTTGTTGAAAGCCAGGTAGCGGTTCCCGCACTGGGCCAGCTGTTCCCGAAGTGAGGCGTCTCCCTTGGAGAGAAATTCCTCCAGGGTTTGCCCTTCTAGGTCATCTTTCCGGGTGAACAAGGTGATCATGTAATTCTTGGCGTTCAAGCTGAAGATCTCCTTGATCAGCCCAGCCACGTCTTTCTCCTCCTGGGAGAAACGGCCTGGACGCATCACCTGCAGAATGATGTGCGGGCCCGGGACGCACATGCTCACGCACTTCTTCACTTCGGCAGCCGTTACCTGCTTGGGGACCTCGGTGTCGAAAAAGCCTGGCGTATCGACCACCACAATCTTCCGGCCTTTCGACCACGTCTCCTCTTTCTGGCACGTCTGCGTTATCGACTTAGAGGACATCCCAAAGTCAAAGATGTCGGCTCCTAGGATGGTGTTTCCCGTTGCGCTTTTCCCGTTGCCGGTTTTGCCCACCAGGACAATCCTCCGTTCGGGCCCTGCAACGCAAAGGGGTGAGGAGACACAAAAGGGGAGCCGGTCATCAGCGTACAGCCATCATCCCTGTGCTGGACCAGCCAGTTAGCTGGGAACTGTATGTTAGAATGTTTGGCATTTAAAGGGTTAAGCGCTGTCTCCTTAAGAGATGGCTTATGGGTAATGTAGTTTAGCTGTTCAGTGACTCCTATAATTACCCAGTTAAGTGGGAGGAGTTTCAAAGTTATGGCAGGACACCCTGTTACGTGTCTGGGTAAAGGCATGCCTTTGTGTAAAACCAGCAGGGGATGCATGGAGGGATAGCATCTACAACCACGCTAAAGCCGATATGAAGGAATTACTGTTTTTGCTTTCGTAAAATGGACAAGTGTGCACATCCGGACGCATCTTGAGAAAGTACGTTCTGCTAAGAATTCCTTGGAATAAATATTTCTTTTACGACCATTTTGTCGTTGAGTTTATGCCGTCTGGACCCGAACTACAAAGCATCTTAGTTTGGGTTCCGGAACAATCACAGCCTGTCCCTCCACCCAGGACAATGAGACCCCTCCCTCTACTGTACCCCCCGGGGGAGAGGCAAAACCTTACCTTTGATGCTTCCAGCCATTTCCAGAAGATTCCTGCAGGAGAAATGTCACGGTTTCTGCAGGAAAAGAGAAACGGGCTCAGCCAAAGGAGAGACGGGTCTTGCTCAGATGTTGACGGGAACTTTCTCCCCCGCCCCCGGAAGATACAGGCAGGAATTGGAGGGGGGGTTAAAAGAGACCCCCCCCATTGACACTGAGGCAGAGTCGTCCTGATCCCTCTCTGCCCCACCCACTTTGTGGCTTCGGAAAAAGGTGGGCATTGATCCCCAAAGCGGATGCTTCAGCCGATCCCGCTGCAGTTCCAGCCCTCCTCAACCAATCGATCAGAATAAAGCTGGAAGGGACCTCGGAGGTCTTCTAGTCCAACCCCCTGCTCAAGCTGCAGACCTTTGCAGAATCATCGAAGGACAGCGTCAGATGGGACCTCAGAGGTCATCCAGTCCAACCCTCTGCTCAAGCAGGAGACCCTGACAGAAACACAGAGTTGGAAAGGACCTCGGAGGTCATCCAGTCCAACCCCCTGCTCAAGCAGGAGACCCTTACAGAATTACAGAAGGATAGAGCTGGAAGGGACCTCGGAGGTTATCCAGTCCAACCCCCTGCTCAAGCAGGAGACCCTGACAGAAACACAGAGTTGGAAGGGACCTCGGAGGTCATCCAGTCCAACCCCCTGCTCAAGCAGGAGACCCTTACAGAATCACAGAAGGACAGAGCTGGAAGGGACCTCGGAGGTCATCCAGTCCAACCCCCTGCTCAAGCAGGAGACCCTACACCATTTCTGATGGACCGGTGATTGAAGCCCCCACGACGTCGGTAAGGCAACCTTGACCGACTTGTCCCCACGGTCAGAACAATCTCTCCTTATTTCTAGGTCTAGTCTAGAATCTCTCCTTGATCAGTTTCCATCCGTTATTCCTGGTCTGGCCTTCCGGAGCTTTGGAAAAGAGGTGGGACTCCCCCCTCCTCTCTGTGAGACCCCCTCAAATATTGGAAGACGGCTATCATGTCCCCCCCCCTCCGGGTCCTTCTCTTCTCTTCCCAAAACTGGCCATTCCCAATTCCTGCATCCGTCCGTCCGTCCTTCGTGTGTTTTAGCCTCCAGCCCCCTCATCATCTTGGTTGCTCTTCTTTGCGCTTTTTCCCTAGAGTCTCAACGTCTTTTTTTTTGTTTTTGTAGTGGGGGAGACCCAAACTGGTTGCAGGTACTTACTCTCCTATCAGGTGGACGTGCCCTAAAGCTGAAAAGATTCTGGTCCAAAACAGAGGTAAGGTTAGAGAAAACAATTCAAAAGCACATAGATTTTAAGCCAGAATTGTTTTTTTGTTCAGCATAGTAGTAGGAAACGGTGAGAAAGGACGCACAGACTTCATTTTACACATATTGTCCGCAGCAACAGTAGCATTCGTTCGATATTGCGGGGGAAAAAGATGAAAATCTACCCACGGCGGAAGAATTAATCAAGTAAATCTTAAGACAGTGCAGAAATGAACAGGTCGACATGGCAGAGGAAAGAGAAAGAAGACGCAGTGTCCTTCAGAAGACGGGAGAAATTTTATCAGTGGCTAGAAAAAATGAGAAGAGAAGATTGAAGAAGGAAATTATTAACGAACACATTGATTAGGAAAATATAGAAGCTAATCATTACGGATTTTTTAAAAAAAACACGTGAATCCAGACAATATGCTGTTTGTGAAATACTAAAGAATGTTATCTTATAAAAATTAATTATACACACACACACACACACACACACAAAACTGGTTGCCGTATTCTAGGTGTGGCCTTGCTAAAGCTTTGTAAAGTGGTGCTAGTCCCTCATGCCATCTTGGCTGAATCCCCCTCTTAAAGCAAGTCAGCATTGCTAAGGCTTTTTTTGGCTGGCTCCCATTGAATTGATTGTCTGTTAAGACTCCGAGATTCCCCATCCCAGTTACTGCTATAAAACCTGATTTCACCCAGTCGGGGGCTGGACTAGAAGACCTCCAAAGTCCCTTCCAGCTTCTATTCTGTTCTGTTTTATTCTAATTTCTTCTTCTATTCTATTCCATTTTCTATTCTATTCTATTCTGTTCTATTCTATTCTATTAATTCTCTATTTTATTATATTCCTTTTCTATATTCTATTCTATTCTATTCTATTCTATTCTATTCTATTCTATTCATTCTCTATTTTATTATATTCCTTTTCTATATTCTATTCTATTCTATTCTATTCTATTCTATTCTATTCTATTCTATTCTATTCTATTCTATTCTATTCTATTCTATTCTTCATTCTTCTATTCTATTCTAATTCTGTTCTATTCTATTCTATTAATACTCTATTCTATTCTATTCTATTCCTATTCTATATTCTTTTCTATTCCTATTCTATATTCTATTCTGTTCCGTTCTGTTCTATTCAAATTTCTTATTCTATTCTATTCTTATTCTTATTCTATTCTATTCTTCCATTCTATTCTATTCTAATTCTATTCCTTATTCTATTCTATTCTATTCTATTCTATTCTATTCTATTCTATTCTATTCTATTCTATTCTATTCTATTCCAATTTCTTATTCTGTTCTATTCTTATTCTATCCTCTATCCCTTTGGGGTTTTTTTCTTGCCTAAGTGGAAGACTTGCCTTTTCATTGGAGTCCCCCACCCCACACACCCCCGACCGCCAGCCGTCTCTCCCGGCGTTGGCCCATCAGCCAACCGGGTCTCAGGGCTGACCCAGCCCCCCTCCTCGGGAGGAGAAGCGGCCGCGGGAAGCGAGAAAGAGGCGGCGCTCCGGAGCAGCTGAGCTGGGGTGGGGTGGGGGGGGGAGGAGGAAGAGAGGCAGTAACCATAGCGTAACAGAGTCGGAAGGGGCCTCGGAGGTCTTGTAGTCCCCCCCCCCGCAGCTCAAGCAAATCCGAATAGAGCTGGGAGGGGCCTGGGTTCGACGACTAGAAGACCTCCGAGCCCCCCCCCTTCCCGACTCTGTGATTCTGTCGGGGCCTCCTGCCCGAGCAGGGGGGGTCGGACTAGATGACCTCCGAGGTCCCTTCCGACCCTGTCCTCCTGTGATTCTGTCGGGATCTCCTGCTGGAGCCGGGGGTCGGACTAGAGGACCTCCGAGGTCCCCTTCCAACTCAATCAGTCTATGATTCTGTCGGGGTCTGCTGCTCGAGCAGGGGGTCGGACTAGATGACCTCCGAGGTCCCTTCCGACTCTGTCCTGTGATTCTGTCGGGGTCTGCTGCTCGAGCAGGGGGGTCAGACTAGAGGACCTCCGAGGTCCCCTTCCAACTCCGTCAGTCTATCATTCTGTCGGGAGTCTGTTGCTCGAGCAGGGGGGTCCGACTAGAGGACCTCCGAGGTCCCTTCCGACCCTGTCCTCCTGTGATTCTGTCGGGGTCTGCTGCTCGAGCAGGGGAGTCGGACTAGAGGACCTCCGAGGTCCCCTTCCCACTCCGTCAGTCTATGATTCTGTCGGGGTCTGCTGCTGGAGCAGGGGGGTCGGACTAGAGGACCTCCGAGGTACCTTCCGACCCTGTCGTTCTGTGATTCTGTCGGGGGTCTGCTGCTCGAGCCGGGGGGGGTCGGTCTAGAGGACCTCCGAAGCCCCACTCTCGGGATTCTACGTCTCTCCTGCCGGACCCCAAGCCCTAGGGCTTCCCTGAAACGGAGCCCCCTCCCCACATTTCATCCTCGGAGGGGTCGAGGAGACCCTCCCCCCTCCCACCCCGACCCTCCTCCTGCCTGCGGGAGGGTGGGGGAATGGCTGGCGCCCCCTCCCCGTTTTCTCTAGCCCCGGAGACGAGGGGAGGGGGCGCGGCTGGGGGGGGAGGAAGGGGAGGGACACCAACCTGAGACCCCCCCTCCGGGAGGCAGCTGATGGATGGGTGGGTGGGTGGGTGGGTGGGATTCGCCGCCTCCGCTTCTCCTGGCTCCGCCGAGGGGCTGCGACTCGCTTCTGCTCCTCCGCGGAAGAGCCGGGCCAAAAAAAAGTCCTCTCCCGCTGGGCGGGCGGGCGGGGCGCTCCGGATGGGCGGAGTCTCCTTGTTCCCCCCCCCGCCCCCCCTTCTTTTTGTCCCCTCCTTACATGTGTCTGATGGAGAGGGCCAGGAGTGAGTCCCCCTCCCCAGGTAGAATAGAATGGAATAGAAAATATGGAATGGAATGGAATACAATAGAATAGAAGAGAAGAGAATAAAATATAGAATTAATAGAATAGAAATAACATTTTAGAATAGAATAGAATAGAATAGAATAGAATAGAATAGAATAGAATAGAATAGAACGGAACGGAACGGAACAGAACAGAACAGAACAGAACAGAACAGAATAGAATAGAATAGAATAGAATAGAATAGAGGAATGATGAATAGAATAGAATAGAATAGAATAGAATAGAATAGAATAGAATGGAATGGAATGGAATGGAATGGAATGGAATGGAATGGAATGGAATAGAATAGAATAAGAATAGAATAGAATAGAAAATATGGAATAGAATAGAATAGAACAGAACAGAATAGAATAGAATAGAATAGAATATAGAATATAATATAGAATAGAATGGAATAGAATAGAATAGAATAGAATAGAATAGAATAGAATAGAATAGAATAGAATATAGAACAGAATATAGAATAGAATGGAATGGAATGGAATAGAATAGAATATAGAATAAAGAATAGAATAGAATGGAATGGAATGGAATAGAATAGAATGGAATAGAATAGAATATAGAATATAGAATAAAGAATAGAATAGAATAGAATAGAATAGAATAGAATAGAATAGAATAGAATAGAATAGAATAGAATAGAATAGAATAGAATAGAATAGAATAGAATATAGAACAGAATATAGAATAGAATGGAATGGAATGGAATAGAATAGAATATAGAACAGAATATAGAATAGAATGGAATGGAATGGAATAGAATAGAATATAGAATAAAGAATAGAATAGAATGGAATGGAATAGAATAGAATAGAATAGAATAGAAATACAAATAGAATAGATTTGTATCAAGATAGATTCCAAACTGTTCGGTAACTCCTCCCTTCCTTCTAGAGCTGATGGTGTTCCCTAGTTTGGTCATGAAACATCTGCAAGGAAACCCCCAAGCTCCGCCTGTCGTATGTTGCTCAGTTTCACTTTCGTGGCTTCTCAAAGATGAAACCTCGTGATTTCTCCGAAGTCGATTGGCGTGTGGCCAACAGAACAGGGCGGGGTCCCAGGGCCGGGGTCACGATCCAGCCTTTCTTTTGTTTTTCACAATCTTTGCCCACCTTCGCCTGGCGTGACCGTTTTGTGCAAAGGATCCCCTCCCTGCTTTCTCGCTTATCTCCCTCGGCTGTCCACTGCGCCCCAGAGTTCCTTCCGCTGGGGTGGGGGCCGCTTTAGAGGCCCTGGTCTGCCCCCCCCCTCATTCAGCACCAGGGAAGAGGGCCAGGGTGGCTGGTTGTGAGTGTGACATGTCATCGTTTCTATCCCGCCAACCCTGGCTGTGGGGACGAGGCATCCTGCGAGAATAGAATGGAATGGAATAGAATAGAATAGAATAGAAAATATGGAATAGAATAGAATAGAATAGAATAGAATAGAATAGAATAGAATAGAATAGAATAGAAAATATGGCATGGAATAGAATAGAATAGAATAGAATAGAATAGAATAGAATAGAATAGAATAGAATAGAATAGAATAGAATAGAATAGAATAAGGAATGGAATGGAATGGGATGGGATGGGATGGAATAGGAGATATAGAGATAGAGAATAGAATAGAATAGAATAGAATAGAATAGAATAGAATAGAATAGAATAGAATAGAATAGAATAGAATAGAGAATAGAATGGAATGGAATAGAATAGAATAGAATGGAATGGAATAGAATAGAATAGAATAGAATAGAATAGAATAGAATAGAATAGAATAGAATAGAATAGACTAGAATAGAAAATATGGAATGGAATAGAATAGAATAGAATAGAATAGAATAGAATAGAATAGAATAGAATAGAATAGAATAGAATAGAAGAGAATAGAATAGAATAGAATAGAATAGAAAATATGGAATGGAATAGAATAGAATAGAATAGAATAAATAGAATAGAATAGAATAGAATAGAATAGAATAGAATAGATGGAATAGAATAGAATAGAATAGAATAGAATAGAATAGAATAGAATAGAATAGAATAGAATAGAATAGAATAGGAATGAATAGAATAGAATAGAATAGAATAGAATAGAATAGAATAGAATAGAATAGAATAGAATAGAATAGAATAGAATGAATAGAATAGAATAGAATAGAATAGAATAGAATAGAATAGAGAATAGAATAGAATAGAATAGAATAGAATAGAATAGAATAGAAAATATGAATGGAATAGAATAGAATAGAATAGAATAGAATAGAGAATAGAATGGAATGGAATAGAATAGAATAGAATAGAAAATATGGAATAGAATAGAATAGAATAGAATAGAATAGAAAATATGGAATGGAATGGAATAGAATAGAATAGAATAGAATAAGGAATAGAATAGAATAGAATAGAATAGAATTACAGAATAGAATAGAATAGAATAGAATAGAATAGAATAGAATAGAATAGAATAGGCTGGACCGTGACCCGGGCCCTGGAACCCCACCCTCTTCTCTTGGCCGCACCCCAGTCTCTGAAATCACGAGGTTCCAAGTCCCAGGTGTGTCTGCATTTTATGGCCCTGTTTATCCCTGGGATCTAGGAGCGGCTGGCCGTCGGTGGACCATGGGGCCCTCCCACGCTGGCCCCACGCCTATCAGCTCCGGAGATATCAAAATAGGTTTCATCTTAGAGAACAGATAACGGGGGGGGGGAGACCCGCCTCGTCCCCACAGCGCCCAGGTGCATTTCATGGCCCTGTTTGTACCTGGGATATCAGGAAGTGCTCACCTGTTGACGAAGGTCCCCTGTTCCCAGCCTTCCGGGGTGGGGGTGGGAGTGGGGGGGGTTCAGGAGCTTTTCTAGGGCTGGTGGGGCTTCCTGGGACCCGGATTCGGACTTGGTCCATGGATTCCATCCTCCCTGTTGGGTTCTCCCACCCCCAGTCTGTGAAATGTGACTTAGGGCCGAGTGGGAGTGGGGGTGAGGGGTGGGGTGGGGGGTGGGGATAACGGCATCCGGACGGACCTAAAGGGGACCTTAAGAACAGACTGGACAGGGACCTCTTGGAATAGGTCTAGGTTCCTCTGCCAATTGGAGGAGGAGGAGGAGGAGGAGGAGAGAGGGAGGAGGAGGAGGAGGAGAGAAGAAGAAGAAGAAGAAGAAGAAGAAGAAGAAGAAGAAGAAGAAGAAGAAGAAGAAGAAGAAGAAGAAGAAGAAGAAGAAGAAGAAGAAGAAGAAGAAGAAGAAGAAGAAGAAGAAGAAGAAGAAGAAGAAGAAGAAGAAGAAGAAGAAGAAGAAGAAGAAGAATAAGAAGAAGAAGAAGAAGAAGAAGAAGAAGAAGAAGAAGAAGAAGAAGAAGAAGAAGAAGAAGAAGAAGAAGAAGAAGAAGAAGAAGAAGAAGAAGAAGAAGAAGAAGAAGAAGAAGACAGAGACTGCAGGATCCTCGGTGCTCTCTGAGCTGGGTGGTCTCCTTGCAGACGTTTCATGACCCAACTAGGGAACATCATCACCTTTGGAAGAAAGGGGGGGTTTATGGGGGGGGAGGAGGAGGAGGAGGAGGAAGGCTGTGGGATCCTCAGAGCTTTCTGAGCTTGGGGGTTTTCTTCCAGATGTTTCATGACCCATCTAGGGAACATCATCAGCTCTAGACGGAAGGGAGGAGTTACCGAATAGTTTGGAATCTATTCTATTCTATTCTATTCTATTCTATTCTATTCTATTTGTTCTGTTCTGTTCTATTCTACTCCAATCCATTCCATTCTATTCTACATTATATTCTATATTCTATTCCATTCCATTCCATTCCATTCTATTCTATTCCTTATTCTATTCCTTATTGTACTCTATTCTATTCATCATTCCTCTATTCTATTCTATTCTATTCTATTCTATTCCATTCCATTCCATTCCATTCCATTCTATTCTATATTATATTCTATATTCTATTCTATTCCATTCCATTCCATTCCATTCTATTTTCCATTCTATTTTCCATTCTATTCTATTCTATTCTATTCTATTCTATTCTATTCTATTCTATTCTATTCTATTCTATTCTATTCTATTCTATTCTATATTCTATTCTATTCTATTCCATTCCATTCCATTCCATTCTATATTCTATTCTATTCTATTCTATTCTGTTCTGTTCTCGTCCCCACAGCCGGGGTTGGCGGGAAAGAAACGATGACATGTCATTTGTTGCTCAGTTTCCCTTTCGTGGCTTCTCAAAGATGAAACCTCGTGATTTCTCCGAAGTCGACTGGCGGGCAGCCAAGAGAAGAGGGCGGGGTCCCAGGGCCGGGGTCACGATCCAGCCTTTTGTTGTTTTTCACAATCTTTGCCCACCTTCGCCTCGCATGACGGTTCGTGCAAAGGATCTGCTCCCTGCTTTCTCGATTATTCCCCTCGGCTGTCCACTGCGCCCCAGAGTTCCTTCTGCTGGGGTGGGGGCCGGTTTAGAGGCCCTGGTCTGCCCCCCCCCCCATCCAGCACCAGGGAAGAGGGCTCGTTGTGAGTGTGACATGTCATCCTTTCTTTCCCGCCAACCCCGGCTGTGGAGACGAAGCATCCTGCCAAATAGAATAGAATAGAATAGAATAGAATAGAATAGAATAGAATAGAATAGAATAGAATAGAATAGAATTCTGAAAGGGTCTACTGCTGGAGCAGGGGGCTGGACTAAATGACCTCTGAGGTCCCTTCCATCTCTTCTGTAAAGAGTCTCTGGCTCGAACAGGGGACTGGACTAGATGACCTCCAGGTTCCCTTCCAGCTCTGTCGTTCTATGATTCTGTCAAGGGTCTCCTGCCGGAGCAGGGGGCTGGACTAGATGACCTCCGAGGTGCCTTCCAGCTCTGTCGTTCTATGATTCTGTAAAGAGTCTCTGGCTCGAGCAGGGGGCTGGACTAGATGACCTCCAGGGTCCCTTCCACCTCCGTCATTCTATGATTCTGTCAAGGATCTGCTGCCGGAGCAAGGGGGCTGGACTAGATGACCTCCAGGGTCCCTTCCAGCTCCGTCATTCTATGATTCTGTCAGAGTCTCCTGCCGGAGCAACGGGGTTGGACTAGATGACCTCCGAGGTCCCTTCCAGCTCTGTCATTCTATGGTTCTGTCAAGGGTCTCCTGCCGGAGCAAGGGGGCTGGACTAGATGACCTCCAGGGTCCCTTCCAGCTCTTGTTATTCTATGATTCTGTCAAGGATCTCCTGCCGGACCAGGGGGCTGGACTAAATGATCTCCGAGGTCCCATCCAGCTCTGTCATTCTATGATTCTGTCAAGGGCCTCCTGCCGGAGCAACGGGGTTGGACTAGATGACCTCCGAGGTCCCATCCAGCTCTGTCATTCCATGATTCTGTCAAGGGCCTCCTGCAGGAGCAAGGGGGCTGGACTAGATGACCTCCAGGGTCCCTTTCAGCTCTTGTCATTCTATGAACGGCCCTGTGTTTCTCGGCACTTTCCCTCTCCTTCTGGGGGCGGGGGGGGGGCGGAGGAGAGGAAGGAGGGGCGGGCCCGGGCCGAGTCCCCGCCCCTTCTCCCTGCCGCTGCCCGCCCCCGCCCCCGCCCCTCCTTCCTCCTTCCAGATAGAGAGCGGGGCGGCTCCGCAACGCAAGCCGCGGCCAGATCCGGAGCGAGACGGGGCTTCGCGCGCAGTTTTCCCCGCAGCAGCAGCGCAGGTGAGGAGGGGGGGGGAAACGGAGGCTCGGGGGTGGGAGGGGTCCTTTCCCGGCAGGGCAAGTGGGGAGGGGGCGGAACCTCGGGAGGGGGGGCGGTCCTTGCGCGGCAGGCAGGGGAGTGGGGGAGGTGGGGGGGCCCTCCCAGGAGACCCTTCACAGAATCATGAGAACGACGGAGCGGGAAGGGACCCCCGGAGGTCATCTAGTCCAGCCCTCTGCTCGAGCCGGAGACCCTTCACAGAATCACAGAACGACAGAGCGGGAAGGGACCCCCGGAGGTCATTGAGTCCAGCCCTCTGCTCGAGCGGGAGACCCTTCACAGGATCTCAGAACGACAGAGCGGGAAGGGACCCCGGAGGTCATCGAGTCCAGCCCTCTGCTCGAGCGGGAGACCCTTCACAGAATCATAGATTGACAGAGCTGGAAGGGAGACCTGAGGTCATCTAGTCCAGCCCTCTGCTCGAGCCGGAGACCCTTCGCAGAATCACAGAACGACAGAGCTGGAAGGGAGCCCGGAGGTCATCTAGTCCAGCCCTCTGCTCGGGCGGGAGACCCTTGGCAGAATCACAGAACGACAGAGCGGGAAGGGACCCCCGGAGGTCATCTAGGCCCTCCCAGGGAGGAGCGCTGAGTCGGGGGTGGGGGAGGGGAGAAGGGTCGGGGGGGGTCTCTTTCCCTGGCAGGCCGGGGAGGGGGGGAGGAGGAGGAGGGAGATCCGCCCAGGCGGGAGGAGGGGGGGTGCGGAGGCCCGCGGGGGTCTTTCTTTCCGCAGCAGCGCAGGTGGGGAGGAGGCGAGGCTTCGGGGGGGGGGCGCGGCCATTCCGCGGCAGGACAGGTGGGGAGGGGGGAGGCTCAGGGGGTCCATCCCCAGAAGGGGATGGGGGGGCGGCACCGGGGGGGGGTCCTTCCGCGGCAAGACAAGTGGGGAGGGGGCGGAGACTCGGGGGGGGGTTCCTTCCCCGGCAGGGCAGGGGAGGGGAGGGGGCGCAGGTGAGGGGGGTCCTTCCCCGGCAGGCTGGAGGGGGGGAAAGAAGGAGGAGGGGCATCCGCCCAGTGGGAGGCGCTTAGCGGAGGGGGGAAAGGGGGGGCTGTCCGCCCTGGGGGAAGCCCTGAGCAGGAGTTGGTGGGGGGGGCGGGGGGGGCGGCTTGGTGGGCGCAAGGGGGCGAGGATCGGGGCCTCCCAACCCCGCTGCATCTCCCCGGAGGAGGGGAAAAAAAAAGCCTTCCGGGGGGGGGGTCCGCGCAAAAGGGGCGCCAGCCTCCCCCGGCGCTCTTTCCCTTCTCGGAGACGGTGCAAGGCTGAACGCGGCGCCTCTCCGGGGGGGGGGGTCTTTCGGGGGCCGAGGAACCTCCGCCCCCTCCCCTTTGCCTCCCCTGCCCGCCACCCCCCCCAGGACCCCTCCCCTCCTGGTCTTCCCGGGCGGAGGAGGAGGCGCAAGGCGGCACTCCCCCCCCTCCCCACCAAATCAGGGGGGGGTGGGCCGTCCGAGCAAAGGAGACTGGCGACCCCCCCCCTCCGACTTTTCTCCTCCTGGCTTGCGTCCCCCTTGCGGTGGGGGGGGGGGCTGGGGGAGTGGGAGGGGGGGAAGGTGGAACTGCCCCCCCATATTTCCGGGGTGGGGGCTTCTTCGGGTCTCTTGAAAGCGGAGGGACCCCCTGCTCCCCCAGACCGGTCCCCTGGAGGGGGGGTCTCAGGCGGACCAAAAGGAGGGGGTGGGCACCTCTTGGAGGCAAGGCGTGGCTGGGCAAGGCGGGAGGGGAGGGGCAGCGCCCCCGTGTCCTCCCCCTCCCCCCGCCCGCCCGAAAAGGGTCTGCCCGCTTAAAAAAAGGGGGTCTTACCCCCCCCATCTCTCTCTTTCCCAGTCCGGGGTGGGGGTGAGGGAATCCCTCCGCACCAGCATCCACAGCCAGGAATGAGCTATCGGACCACCCGCCCGGTAAGTCTGAGAAGGGGGTCCTCAAAGGGGAGGTGTGTGTGTGTGTGGAGGCTTCCGGAAAGGGGAGACCCTTTGGGGGCCTGGACAACCATCCAGCCCCCCCTCCCTGCTCCCTCCATCATGGTCCAGAGGAGTCCTTGTAAAAATAAAACTCCGGTGCTAAAGCATGCAACGCCCCCCCCCAAAATAAATGAGGTCTACTTCCTCTTTCTCTCCTCCACCTGCTTTTCGCCCCCCCCCCAATCCCTTCCCTCTCCCCCTCCCTCCCTGCCCCTCCTTTCTTCCCTTCCTGGATCCCTTCAGAGCATCTCAGACCCCCTCCCTTAGCTGGGGGGGGGGATGCTCCAGAGCAGCCTTGAATGGGGGTGGGGGGACCAGGCTGGGGTTTCTGGGTCCGGAGGGGGGGGGCAGCTTGCTCTCTCGGCCCCACTGGACACGGCCGGGGCCACGCCTGACCCGTGTTTCCTTTCCACTCTTCCAGGGAACTATGGAGAAAGAGATCAGCGTGGGTAAGTGAGGAGGCTACGCCTTTGGGGAGGGGGGGCAGCACGGCTAACCATGTGGAGGGTGAGCTGGTGCCAGTTCTGTGTAATGTAAGGACCCTCCCCCACTTTGCATCTTAAGAAGACAGAACTCTTGGAATAGTTCTTCCAGCAGGCATCCTTTATTAAGAGAAAATGGTTGCAGGCGTTCTAGACAGGACTTGGGGTCCAAGCTCTCCCGTTCGAGGTTTTAAGGGGTTCCCCAGTAGCCCCACCCAATCACCCCCCCTTCTTCCAGCGACAGTCTTGGGCGTTACACTCCCACCCCCTTTTCCTTACTGCCGGAGGGAGGGAGACTTCAGAGAAAACTACATGAAAGGTAATAGCCCCCTTTGTTATGGTTAGCCCTTTTGGATGATACACACATCCAGTTCCTTTGAAGTGTACCGAAGGAAATGAGGGCCATAAAGCCTCTTTGTTCACTCCCTTCGCTTCCTCGTATGACAGAATCCAGAGAAGGCGGAAATGGGGTTTTCTATCGTTGATAACTAGAGATGAAATATAATTGGATTCTGACATCTGCGCTGGATGGGGTGTCTCCCCATAGCGAGCAGCCAGAGCCTCGCGGGCCGGCCGAGAGGAGTGGGTGCCTTGGCCCCTCAGGGGAGACCCCCTCCCCGCTCCTGAGCACGGCTCTGTGGCCCACGGGTGGCCCTCCTTCCACAGTCCACAGTCCACACGTCGGACAGGGGCACTCATGTGGGTGGGGGGGATGCCCCCCAGGACCCATTCCAGCCAACCCCTTGGATCCAACTCCGACAGTTGGGCCCGCGCGGATCGTCTTCCCGGCAGATTTAGCGGCCCTCTGTCTGAAACAAACCGAGTTGGAAGCCGGCTTGCAAGCTTTGGGGGGTGGGGGAGGGAGGAGGGTGACCCTGCTTTGGCTTGGTCCAGCCTGCCTCTGCATCCTGCCCCCCCCCGGCCCAGTGGGTCAGGCGTCCTCCCGCAGCTCTCCGCCAACAGCCCTGAATCTTTTCCGGGTCACTCCGCTCGCTCGGATTAAAGCTTGGCCGCGGGAAGGGGGGGGCTGGACACAGTGGCCATATTCGGACATCATATGGATGGGGGGCTTATGTGGTGCTCAAAGGGCTGCTGGGACCAGAGCAGTGGTTCTCAACCTTTTTAATGCAGCGACCCCACCAACCGGTCGTAAGTCGAGGACAACTCAACCGGTCGTAAGTCGAGGACTACTCAACTGGTGCAGCACCGTTGGCAGAATGGGACTTTTGGCAGGCTCAGCAGGGCGGAGACAGCTTGGACAATTCCTATTGGCTTTGGAAAGCCAATAGAATGAAACTCTATTCAAGAGAGTCTGTTCGATTGGCTTTCGAAAGCCAACAGAATAAAAGGGAGGAGCACAGCTAAGGAAAAGGGGGGGGGGAAATGGCGGATGGCGTTGTTTGGCGACCCCCGTGAAATGGTCGTTCGACCCCAAATGGGGTCCCGACCCACAGGTTGAGAACCACTGGACCAGGGGGTAATTTCCTGACTTGGAGCTTCATTGTTTTATCAGTGGAGTTTTGCTAAAGTGGGGTTCGCACGTTGTGGGAATCTACACAGCAGAGTATCCCATTTTAGGGACTCTGGGAGATTCACACACACACACACAAAAAAACATTCCTGAAGCATGTCTGGGCAGGGGTGACTCTTTTCCAAAATTGTCCCCATTTCCCAGTCCGCTCAATGACACCCCAACATGTCGGATCACGGCCCCACCTTTCTTCCCGGGCATGTGTGAAATATCTCGATTCCTTTGTGTAATGTCGTCTTCCAAACTCACAGGGGAGGACGCCGAACTCCGGCTGATCCTGGTGGGAAAGTCCGGAGGCGGGAAAAGCGCCACGGGCAACACCATCCTCGGCCGGCCGGTGTTCAAGTCCATCCTGGAGCCAAATACCACCACCGTGAAGTGCCAAAGGGGTGAAGGAAGCTGGCGGGACAGGAAGATCTCCGTGGTCGACACACCCGACATTTTCGATTCGGAAAACCACAGTGAGATTGTGCAAAATGAGATCGCGGCTTGCGTCGAACTCTCCTGGCCTGGCCCGCACGCCCTGATCTTTGTGACCCAGGTGGGGCGCTTCACAGCCGAAGATGTGACAGCTGCAAAGCGTGTCCGGGAGATCTTTGACGGCGAGTCGGCCAGGCACACGATCGTCCTCTTCACCTGCAAGGAAGATTTGAGAGGGGAATCCCTGCAGGACTACGTCCGAAATTCCAACAATCCCAATCTGCAGGCGCTGATCCAGGGGTGTGGGAACCGCTTCTGCGGCTTCAACAACAAGGCCGTGGGAGCCGAGTGGCAGGCGCAGGTCTCGGAGCTGATCGAGCTGGTGCAGAGAGTCGTTTCAGAGAACGGGGGGAGACACTACGTCAGCTGGATGTACGACATCCCCATGGTACGGGAGCAGCATGCCACAGAGCGGAATCAAATGGCAGCGTGGAAGTGGGCGAGGGCAGTGCTCTTTCCCGGCATCTGGTGGAGCTGGTCCATTTACACGAGAGCAAGGGGTCCTCTGGGAGACCCCAACGGGTGGGTGGGACAGCCGAGACCCTCATGTTAGGACAGGCAATCGGCGGGGGCGAGAAGAGTGGTTCATGGGTGGAGAGCATGCAATGCCCCCCCCAAAGGGGTCCCCCAGCTCTACCTCCCTTTTTTCTCCTCCACCTGTGTCCCCCGCCATCCTTTCCCTCTCCCCCTCCCTCCCTGCCCCTCCTTTCCTCCATACCTGGGTCCCTTCGGAACATCTGAACCTTCCCCGCCCCCCCAGTTAGCTGGAGGCAGTGGTGGGATTCCAATATGTGAACAACTGGTTCTCTGTGTGGATGCCGCGTCCGGAAGTCCATTCTGGGCCTGGGCAACAAAAAATTAGCTACCGGTTGCGAACCGACTGAATCTCACCACTGGCTGGGGGGCTCCAGAGCAGCTTCTGAGCGATGCCTTGAGTGGGGTGGGGGACCAGGCTGTGGTGTGTGGGCCTGAGCAGGGTGGCAGCTGGCCCCCCCGCCCCACTGGACACGCCGAGGCCTCTGGGAGTCGAGACGCCTGTCTGACCCGTGTTTCCTTTCCACTCTTCCAGGCAGCTACGGATGACGGGGCCAAGCCGGGTAAGTGAGGAAGCCACGTCTGGCGTTTGGGGGGGGGGGGGCTGAAGAGGAACAAAGAGGATTCGGAAGCTGGAGCCTAAAACATCGGAAGATCGGGTGCAGGAATTGGGATTGGCCAGTCTAGAGAAAAGAAGGAATATAGGGGGGGGGACTAAATAGCAGGATTCCAGTATTTTGGGGGGGCTGCCACAAATAGCACTCCTGACTAGCACTGATGATGTTACTTACATGGGTCATGAAACGTCTGCAAGAAAACCACCCAGCTCAGAGGTCCATTGTGGACCCCCATTCTTCTTCCTCCTCCTCCTCCTCCTCCCTATATCCTCATCTTGAGGCAGACTAGGTGCTATCTGAAACCTAGTCAAAAACAAGCTAAGGATCCATCTGGATGAGATACACACACAAACACACACACCCGGATTCTATCCAGCTCCAGTTTCCCTGATGGATGCTCCTGTTCGTCCTGCAGAGGGAGAATGGGGAGACCGGACGATGGACATTACGGCAGCCGGCAGACCCGGTAATTCTTCTCATCTCCTTGACGTGGGACAGACCTCTTGTGGCCCCCAAACTTTGGGGCACCAGGGACCAGGTTCCGTGGAGAGGGGTTTTTCTGTGGACCGGGGGGATGTGTGTGCGTTGGTTTCGTGTGCTTCGCTTATTTGCGTGGCCCAGTTGCCGGCAGACTAGGTGCTGTCTGAAACCTAGAGTCAAACACAAGCTAAGGATCAATCTGGAGGAGACACGCACAAACCAACACACATCCCCGGCTCCTATCCAGTTCCAGATTCCGTGATGGGTGCTCCTCTTCGTCCTGCGGCTGGAGAACGCAAAGAAGTGATGATGGAAGGTATGGCAACAGGGCGAGCTTGATGTAGAATGGCTCCAGGGACCGGTTCCGTGGAGAGGGGGTTTTCTGTCGACCGGGGGGGGTGCGTTGGTTTTGTGTGCTTTGCTTATTTGCGTGGCTCGGTTGCCGGCATGCTGTGGACCAGTGGCGGTTCAGGGACCAGGGATTGGGGACCCCTGTCTTAACGGCTGTTTTACATTATGGTGGATCCCCCCAAAAGATCCAATCCTGAAATTACAGTCCCCCCCCCAGCACCCCAATGGTCATTTGCACTTCTGACTGACCCCAAGGACACTGCAGTACCTCCTACCTATTCTACCCTTCCCGCCACATCCCTGGAAGCATTTTTCTTCCACCACAAGTACCTGCTGGTCTTTCTCCTTCCACACCAGCTCCCCGTAAACGTTTCCCTCTGGCTTCAGTCGGATCCTCACACACCACTAGGCTCTTACATCCCACCTCCCTTAGCAGTAGCAATAGCACTTATATATCACTTCACAGTACTTCCGAGCCCCCTCTAAGCAGTTTACAGAGTCGCCTTATTGGCCCCCCACATTTTAGCGACCACGGAGGGACAGAAGAGCTGAGTCAACCTTGAGCCGGTCAGCATTGAACTCCTGGCAGTGGGCAGAGTTTGCCTGCAGTGCTGCATTCTACCGACTGCGCCACCAGCGATCATGGTGATGCAGTAGAGGCTGTTGAGCAGGGGGATGGACTAGAAGACCTGCAAGGTCCCTTCCAATATTACGCCCGTACCCTGGCCCGGGGCCATCAATACGCAGCACACACCAGCAGCCCTGAGCCACCTCACAGCTCAGTCTCAATTTGCTTGGCTCCGGCTTTGCTAGTGGGGGCTGGACACAGTGGCTGTATTCGGACATCTGCTAAAGTGGGATTCGCACGTTGTGGGAATCTGCACGACTGAGCAGCCCATTTTAATATGAGTGAACCACTTCTGGGCAGGGGTGACTCTTTTCCAAAGTTGTCCCCTTTTCCAGTCTGCTGAATGACACCCCGACATGTTGTGAGGAATATCTCGATTCCTTTTTGTAACGTCGTCTTCCAAACTCACAGGGGAGAACTCCGAACTCCGACTGATCCTGGTGGGGAAGTCTGGAGGCGGGAAGAGCGCCACGGGCAACACCATCCTCGGCCGGTCAGTGTTCGAGTCCATCCTGCAGCCAAACACCACCACCCTGAAGTGCGAAAGGGGTCAAGGAAGATGGCACGAGAGGAAGATCTCCGTGGTCGACACACCCAACATTTTCGATTCTGACAACCACAGTGAGATTATGCAGAATGAGATCAAGGCTTGCGTCGAACTGTCCCGGCCTGGCCCCCATGCCCTGATCTTTGTGACCCAGGTGGGGCGCTTCACCGCCGAAGATGTGACAGCTGCAAAGCGTGTCCGGGAGATCTTTGGGGACGAGTCCGCCAGGTACACGATCGTCCTCTTCACCTGCAAGGAAGATTTGAGAAGGGAATCCCTGCAGGAGTACGTCCGATATTCCGACAACCGCAATCTGCGGGAGCTGATCCGGCGGTACGGGGACCGCTTCTGTGGCTTCAACAACAAGGCTGCGGGAGGCGAGCAGGAGAGGCAGGTCTCGGAGCTGATGGAGCTGGTGCAGAGAGTCGTTTCGGAGAACGGGGGGAGACACTACGTCATCCGGCTGCTCAAGGTGCCCAAGGTACGGGATCCACGTGTCATAGAGCAGAATCAAATGGCAGAGTGGAACTGGGCGAGGACGGGGCTCTTTCTGCCGGTTTACACGAGAGCAGGGGGTCCCTCCTCTCTGGGAGACCCCAATGGGCGGGCGGGACAGCCGAGACCCTCATGTTAGGACAGGCAATCGGGGGGTGAGGCAAATGGTTAGTAGCCGAGATCCATTCATTAGGAACCGGATGGCTGAATCGCTCAGGATCCCTTCTTCCTTGTTAGCACAGGAAGGCAGAGAAGTGGGGGGAGAACAAGGGAGGGGACTTATCTACAAGTGGGACACAAAAGCACCTCTGTTGTTGGGGGGGGGTTCTAGGTAATTTGGGGAGGGGGCTTTCTCCTTTTCTGAAGTTTCTGCTGGGTTCTGTACAAACGAGGAAATAAAACGGGATCTTGTCCAGGGTCCACCTGGGCACAGCTGGGAGAAGGCGGGCCTTTCCGCCAACTGTTGTCTGTTCCTCGGTTTCACTTTTGGTCACTTCTCCAAGATGAATCTTTCTCCGGAGCTGATGGGTGTGGGAAGTCAGCCCCCACCCCCCACCCCCAGAGAAAGATATATATTTTGGAAACATTTGAAAGACAATCGATTTCCCTAAAGGATTTAAAGGCAAAAACTAACACTCCCCCCCCCACAAGTCTCTCTGTCTCAAACAGAAACCAAGTCTGCAGAAATGCCGATGTGATAATCTTGTCAGAAAGACTGGAGTCAGGAAACGGATCAGGAAGAAAGATCCCCAGAATCAACAATCCCTCACACCCGAAATCTAAGAGTCATCAGCCCCAGCCCCAAGGAAGCAGGATATGATCTTTGGGACATAATAGGATTAACCCACCATCATCAGAATACCAGAAAGGCAGACTCAGACTCAGGTCAAAGGTCATGCCACAGGAACCGCTCCAAACAAAAGGCTCCAGAGGGTATAAAAACCCACTCCCAACATGTGTCAGCAAGCGGAGCCATGGCATCTGCGGCAGAAGAGCACAGGCAGGCGGCGGAAGGCACGAGGAGCCCCAATCCCAGCACAGCCCCTCCCCACTCTCCTCCCTCCCCCCTCGGAAGAGCTGCGGGGCTCAGCTAGAAGGAAGTGGGGAAGAAAACCGTCGCCAGACACTCTTCTGTTTTAACGTTTTTTTCTTCTCGCTTTTGGGAGTTTTCATCCCGCTTTCGTGAGACGGCAGCGTTTGGGAGGGGGTGTAGCTTCCCCCTTCCCCCCCCCCAGCCATCAGCTGAGCAAGACGCCCTCCTGCCCACTGCCCCACCCGCCAGAGACCCCGTGGATCTCCCCCAACCCTGCCCGGCCCCCACAGGCATCCCTCCCCAGCAGTGACATCGAGCTGGCTACGCCCACCCTGGCCACGCCCACCCAGTCTGCCATGACCACCGTAGCCATATTATTATTATTTTATTTGGACTCCAAGATCCCTCTCACAATTACTGGCATTAAGTCACGTTTCACCTAGTCTGTACCTATACAGTTGCTTTTTTCTTGCTTAGGTGTAAAACTTTGCTTTCCTCCACATTAACATTCCTGTTGTTGGACAGGGCCCACTGTCCGTCAAGATCCCTTTGGATCCTGAGCTTGTCTTCTAGGATGTTGGCTAATTCTGCCAGCTGAGTGTCACCTCCAAATTTGATGAGTTCCCCTTCTATTCCCTCATCTAAGTCATTGATGAAGATATTGAAGAGTCCTGGCTTACGGTTTGTGCTCGCGGTGCTGGCAGACTTGCGAGGCAATCGCTCTCTCTGCTGTCCGGTTTTCTCCCGCCGGGAGACCCTGAAAAGGGTTGGAAGTCATCCTGGAGGGACAATGAGCGTGAAGAGGACCCCGAGTGATCGCGTAAGGGCGGCAGCCCTCCCGTTTGATCCGGGGCAGCTGTTCGAGCTGCCAGGGAAAAGATTGGCCATTAACATGGCCCATCACTAACCCGCTACCAGCCAAGGCCAAAATTACTAACAAGCACTTCGAAAGCACCACAGAGGAATTGGATGAGATCTTACCTTCTTTGTACCCTAAGTACTTTCCTGTAAAAAGCTTCTTGAATTTTCTCCCCCCTGTGAGGAGAGAGGGAAGGGAACGTTTTCCTCCCACCTGCTAAAATAGCAGCATCTGACTAGCTAGGGGACATAAAGCCTTGAAAAGAACAACTAAATAATTGGATTTACATCTTGGTATTTGGGGACGCAAAAAGTTCCGACTCTCACGGGGACCTGTTACCTTATCTACTTGTAAAAAAGATGAAAAAGAACTTAAATTGGATAAAAACCTAGCCCGGGTTTTGAAAAAGACTTTAAATACTATCGGGGACATCTTGTGGCGAAGCTTGGTACGGCAAGTGAATGTTTTTGACAGCCTAGATCTGTCCTTGGTATTATCTGAAAGAGATAAAAAGCTGAGAGAATAGCTGGGCGGTGAAATTGGCTTTTAGGAACTGTGGAAATTTATTTATTTATTTATGTATTTATTTATGAGACTTATATACCGCTTTAAGTGCAAGCACTCTCTAAGCGGTGTTCACCAGTAAGCAATGTATATATATATTTACATTGCCCCCAACAATCTGGGTCCTCATTTTACCTACCTCGGAAGGATGGAAGGCTGAGTCAACCTTGAGCCGGTGAGATTTGAACCGCTGACCTGCTGAACACAGTCAGCTAAAGTGGCCTGCAGTACTGCACTCTAACTGCTGTGCCACACTTACTGATTCTTGTTTCAAAAATAGCCTCCACTAAAAGACCATTTATAACCATGTCAGACATGGAGGAGGACCAGCAACAAATTTCGGCTAATTATAAGCTCATTCTTGAAAAAATTCTTGAAGCTACTGAGATAATTAAATCTAGACTGAAAGACCAAGGCGCCAGCTTAAACCTACAAAGCGAAACCCTGATTGCAACTAAAGAACTTACAATTCAAAAAACAACAGAAGCGGAAGAAGTTAATACCAAGGCAGAGGACTTTAAAGAACAACAACTACAATGTACTGAAAATGTAGACAACCAAACCCTGATTGCAACTATAGAATCTACAACCCAAAAAAGAACAGAAGTGGAAGAAAGTAATGCCAAGAGGGAGGGGGTTAATGATCAACAAGTACAGCTTACTGAAAACCTAGATAATCAAATAACAACCATAAAATTGGACATGACTTTCTACTTACACCGGAAGAAACCTGAGGAGGAAGAAGAACAGATCAAATTGAAGATAAATATACTGGAGAAAATACAGAGATCTCAGCCACCAGGGTGACAACTTAACGATCATAAATGGGCCAGTTTCTCTAGCAAATTGATGACTAGATGGTCTCCTTTGATCCAAGTAACAGGAACAAAACGAAGGGAGATCCACCTGATGATCTAAAGCAGGGGTGTCAAACTGCCGGTCAGCGGGCCGGACGCGTCATCCCAAAACCGCGCCCAGCCCATTGCCGGCAATGGAGAAAAAACTCCGATACGTCGCCCGACGTCACGTGACGTCGCGAGTTTGACATGCCTGCTCTAAAGGCGTTGGTGTGGAAGCCTGGCTGGCATAAAAAGAAAGCTAGAGTTAGATTTTAAAAAATGGGGTCTTTCGATCTATTAGAGAGGATTCTACAGTCTCAACTAATGGGCTAACACAGTGGTTCTCAACCTGTGGGTCGGGACCCCATTTGGGGTCGAACGACCATTTCACGGGGGTCGCCAAACAACGCCGTCCGCCATTTTTCCCCCCTTTTCCTTAGCTGTGCTCCTCCCTTTTATTCTATTGGTTTTTGAAAGCCAATAGAAGAGACTCTCTTGAACAGAGTCTAATTCTATTGGCTTTCCAAAGCCAATAGGAATGGTCCAGGCTGTCTCTGCCCTGCTGAGCCCGCTAAAAGTCCCATTCTGCAAACGGTGCTGCACCAGTTGAGTAGTCCTCGACTTACGACCGGTTGAGTAGTCCTCGACTTACGACCGGTTGGGGGGTCGCGGCATTAAAAAGGTTGAGAACCACTGGGCTAATGGGTAATTTTGAGATGAAGGGAAATATGGTTATTAGATTTAAATACTGTTGGAAAATGATAAAAAAATAAGGGATTAATTGGCTTAACGTGGAGTATTTAGAGTTATAAGGGAAATGAAAATTAACTATTAGGAAATAGCTTTGAATTATTGTATAGCCCAGATAATACAGATGATGGATTCGAGACAATAAAGGATACTCTACTAGCAAGTGGTGATGTATTAGGATGAGAAACAGAAAAATGTTTAGGTAGTAAAATAAGAATATATTTAAGTAAGTAATATGTGTTTTTTTTTAGATATTATAACTTTTATGTAGTGAAATAAAGGAACCTGGGGTTACCCGTAATTTAAATATTACGGAATGTTAAAGGTTTAAATTGGAATACTGTAATTTTAAAAAAATAGGTAAAACTTAAAAACAGGATATGGATATGTGTAAGTAAAACTATATATTGATAAATGTTTTAATTGAGCTTGTTATGCTTAGAAATTCACCAGCCTAAGTAGGATATAGCAATTGTTAAGGAAAAATAGAGAAGGAATTTTTGATGATGTAACCTGAGATATATACTAAAGATTTTGTTATTGAACTATTGATTACCCAATCACCACGCTGCTTTCCAAAGACCTGGATGTAAAACTGGAAAACCAATAACATTTGTTATTTTTAAAAAAGGGGGGGGGTCAAAGGATGGGAGAGTATTTGGCTGTGGGGCCAGTTGATACTAGGGGCGGGGCAGGATCTTCCCGTCATCCGAGGGGAGAAACCCGGTTCTGAGGAGACGGAATGGGCTCAGGGAGAATCAGCCACGAAACTCCGACTGGGGTTCTTCGGAGGTCAGCTAGCACAGGGAATTCTGGGAGTTGAAGTCCACAAAAGAGCCAAACTGGCCTACCCCTGACCCAGACCATTCCAGACAAGCAGCCGTCCATTCTCTTCTTCTCACTCTGCCCAGGGATTCCACCGTCCCATCTGAACTGCTGATTCGTTCTCTTTTAGGCTGCCACGTGGGACCACGGAGCGGGAGCGAAGGAAGAAGGTGAGGGTCCCGCCAGGATTCGGCTTCATTGCTTGCCAATTCTTCCCCAGAGGAAGGGCTTGGCTCTCTGGGTGTGCCGAAGCATGGAGTAACAGAATTGGAAGGGACCTCGGAGGTCATCTAGTCCAACCTGGTGCTCAAGCAGGAGAGTCTTACAGAATCATAGAATATGGAAGGAACACTGGAGGTCTTCTAGCCGAACTATCTATCTATCTATCTATCTATCTATCTATCTATCTATCTATCTATCTATCCATCTCTGTTGAGTATCTAATTCTTTGTCTGTCTCTCTCCCTCTATCTCTATCCACATCTATCTGTCTGTCTGTCCATCCATCCATCCATACCATCTATCTCTATTATCTATTTAATATTCTCTCTCTCACTCACACTCTCTCTTTCTCCCTCTCTCCCTACCTCCCCCCCATATATTCACTGAATTCCCTTCCAGCCGTGTAACTCTACTCCGCCTTCCCTCTCTCTTCCAAACTCCCAGGGGACGATGCCGACCTCCGGCTGATCCTGGTCGGGAAGTCCGGATGTGGAAAAAGCGCCACGGGCAACACCATTCTCGGCTGGAGGGAGTTCGAGTCCCTCCTGGAAGCGAAGACCACCACCCGGACGTGCCAAAGGGGGCAGGGAACCTGGGAAGGGTGGAAGATCTCCGTGATCGACACGCCAGCCTTTTTCGATTCCGAAGAGATGGATCCGTCACTGGAGACAGAGATGAAAAAATGCCATCAGATGTGCCAGTCGGGTCTTCACGCCTTCATTTTGGTGACCCAGGTGGGGCGCTTCACCAAGGAAGACAAGGCGGCCGCAAAGCGGGTCTGGAAAATCTTTGGCGACGAGTCTGTCAGGCGAACAATCATCCTCTTCACCAGCAAGGAAGACCTGGGAGGGGTCTCCCTGCAGGAGTACATCAAAAAATCCGACAACCCAAAACTGTGTAAGCTGATTAAGAAGTGCGGCAATCGCTTTTGTGGGTTTAACAACGGGGCCGAAGGAACCGAGCGGGACGACCAGGTCACAGAGCTGATGAAGAAGGTCCAGAAGATGGTCGAGGAGAACGGAGGGCGGCCCTATTGTATCCCATCAGAAAAACCAAAACTTTCTTCCAAAATCCCTGGTTTTCCCAAGAAGAAGAGCCATCAGTAAACACTGAGATATAACGTCTGGGGGGGGGGGTAATTTCTTTCTCGGCTTTTTTCAATCACCCCTCTCCAGTTCTCTCGTGATTCATCTTAATGCATTAATTGTACCTTTTCCAATATTGGCAAGTGCTGAGATTCAAACCTCCACGAGTCCCCGTCCTTTTGGATGACAACCAGCAATTCGAGCCGGTTCCCCCCCCCCTTATGCCAGACCTAAAGTTTTTGTCAGATTATTCTTTTCCCTGCATATGTGTTCCCATTTGGGGCCTGCCGTTCTGCTGGGAGGAGGGGGGGGCGGATCTGCTGTCGCTTGGGATAACTTTCGCTTTCTGCTTTCCCTCCCCTGCCTCTCTCCACCTGAAAGAAGATGTCGCCCTTATCAGGGAGACAGTTGCGGGAGACACGAAAGCTGGAGGAGACCTTGAGGTGCACACCAACTCGTGCCAGTTACCCGTAACATCGTGGCCGCCTGTGGATTGACTGGATTTCAAACAGACATTGTGACTTTGGTGGGCGGAGGAAGATTGCTGGTTTGACCGTGCCCTTTTTGAGTGGGATTTTCCCCAGATCTTGCCTTGACTTCCCTGCTGTCACTAACCCCCTAATAAAAAGTATCCTTTTCAGACGATGCCTGTTTCAAGAGTTCTGCTTTCTTGGGTGGTTAGCTGAGGTGGGTCCTTACATAAGGCGAGAATCTCTAAAGCAGAAGTCACCAATCTTTCTTGTTTGGCAGACCAGAAGAAAAGTGAGGGGAAAGTATTTACGCACACGCATGCACGCGCACACACACACATGCAGACAATTCATCCCGTCTTTTGCGCAGATTGCGCTCCCAATCACAAACCTGTTAAAAACCTGAGGGGGGGGGAGATAAACTGAAGCCCAGTCAACCGTTAAAATGGACAGGGGAACGTCAAGCAGCTTTTGAGAAACTTAAGAAACTTTTTTCTATGGAGCCGGGTTTGAAACATCTGGACCCAGAACAGCCATTTATAATCCAAGCGGATGCCAGCGATGTGGCTGTGGGAACGGTTTTATTGCAGAAAAATAAAGGACAATTACATCCTTGTGCTTATACCTCCAGGAAATTATCAGAGACTAAGCAGAGGTGGGCAGCTTGGGAGAAGGAGGCCTATGCTGTACGATGGGCCCTCCTAATGAGGCGGCATTTCCTGGAAGGGAGTAAAATATCGTTTCAAGTGTGGACTGATCATAAGAATCCTGAAGCCATGAAAACTCCCAGGAAACTCTCCCCCAAACAGGCAAGGTGGTACCAACGTTTCCTTCATTTTGATTTCACTATTTAGTCCCTCCCTGGGGGAAAGAATTTTTTTAGCGGACGCATTGTCCAGATTACCACAATATAACAGCACGAAAGCAAAAGTGACTAAACCATTTTTGCATCCTCGTCAATTAGCAGCCCCGGTAACCACCAGAGCCCAGTTGAAACTTGTCGAAAAGACTTTGTTACAGGAGTTTAAAACTGCATTAGAGGCTGATGAGTGGTTTTGAAGCCACAATAACCTGTAAACTGTGCCCCAGAGTTCATCAGTCAATTTGCCTTTTGCACGTGCAGCGTGGGGTGGGGTTGGGCTGGGGGGGGGGTTCTCCCCAGAGGTTACAAAGCTGAAACTGCAAAGATCTCCATGAGGGATGTGGTTGGGGCAGGGCTCTGCCTTGAATCGCTCCTGAAAAGCTCCTGAACCAGGAGAAACAGGGAAGTCCTGAAGTTTGCAGGTGACAGCGATTGTGGGGGGAGGGGAGGTGGAATAGCCAGCACTTTGGAATATAGGCTCAAGATCCAGAAGGTTCTGGACAGGCTCCAAGTCTGGGCCTTATCCAACAAAATGCAATTCATTTCACTTAGGCAGGAAAACCCAAATGCACAGGTATAGAATAGGTGGTACCTGACTCAATTGTAGTAACTGTGAGATGGATCTAGGAGTCCTAGTGGACAATCACTTATATCTGAGTGGGGACTGTCTGCTGACATAGGCACCAGTATGGACCAATGGAACAGTGGATGGATCCTCATCCTTCGAGGTTGGAAGGTGACAGGATTGATCACGGCTTCAATAGGAAATGGGCCCAGACAGTGGTGGCCCAGTTTTTCAGACAGCCTACTCAAAGGCAGGTGACACGTGGAAACGTCTCTGTGATGACGGTCAGAAATTTCTTGTAGTCCTTTTGGCCTTCTCGTGTTTATTTATTTATTTATTTATTTATTTATTTATTTATTTATTTATTTATGAGACTTATATACCGCTTTAAGTGCAAGCACTCTCTAAGCGGTGTACACCAGTAAGCAATGTATATATATATTTACATTGCCCCCAACAATCTGGGTCCTCATTTTACCTACCCCGGAAGGATGGAAGGCTGAGTCAACCTTGAGCTGGTGAGATTTGAACCGCTGACTTGCTGAACACAGTCAACTAAAGTGGCCTGCAGTACTGCACTCTAACTGCTGCACCACCTCGGCTCTTTTGTGTTGTAGAAGTGAGAGACTTGAGTCAGCTCTTTTGAGAAAGGGAAGGTTTATCGCGCCGGTTCAGAGAGCTAATCACAGCAAAAAGGGTCTGAACCCCGAACAGGGGCATGGGTGGACATTCTTATACTCTTTAATACGTAAGTATTTCCTGATCATGGAATATTCCATACATGGTCATATTCTATAGTTCCTTATTCTAACATAGAAAAAGCTACTTCGGCAGTTTGCAATATATCATGTGCAAAGTTAAAAACAGGATATTGGGCTGATCTGGCACTTCTAAATTGATGTGTCGTCTGGGAGGCAGGAAACCTCCCTTTCGCCCCCAATTTCTGTTAGACAATCAGTTAGACAATCAGTATTTTTCCAGCTTCCCACTTTACTCCCCCCTATTGAGACTTCCCACTTTAGTCGAACTGACGTTTCACACATGGTGTGCGATTCAAAGCTCTTGGAGGAATACGTTCACTGTGGGCACGGGAGAGTCTGCGGCTAAGGGGCTAAGGGAAATAGACATGGGTGAAAATTGTAATTGGCAAAGAACTGGGGTCACTTGGGTGGAAGTATGTTGGGTGTTATTATATGCAGCCATTGCCAATTTGCCCTGCTATTGACTGACGAAGCACTGGAGATATTACGTAAGGATGGCATTTATTCTTTCAGTTCTCCCATCAGTCTCTGGATGATGGGCTGAAGAGAGACACCTGTACCTTGACTACCTTCACCAACAAATCATTTCCTCCCCTGGGTGATAGGATTAATCAATCCTGCTGAAAAGAAAAAAACAAGCTAGGAAAGTAAGAAAAACAAGCTTCTTACAAATCTCATCAAAACGTAAAATAGGAAAGAGTACTAATTGTCCCACGCATTCAGGTGATTTTTACTCGCCAGTCCAGAAGGCATTGCTGAATCAGTTCTCTGTCTGGCTTTTGTAATAAAATCCACTTTCAGGCAGCTTGCTACGTTCAGTGTCAGCCATTTTTATTCATTTTTAGCTTACTTTTCCTAGCAGCATTTCCTACCAGACGCCTTTCCTCTGTTTTTAGAAAGACATCCAGCATGACTTGGAGGTCTGCCCAGTTAGTGGCATAAGTTTGAAGAATGAACAGAACCAATTCAGGATATTTACGCGGGGTTTCAGTGTAAGAACACAATCGGTCCTCCCATGCATAAAGGTCAGATGTGGAGAAAGGGGTATGCACCAGGATCTTATTAGTGTCCCCTTTTCTAATAGTTACTTGCCCCATGAGGGAGTAGATCCCCTTATAGGGTGGTGGAGCAGAAGCTAAAGGAGGAAAAGGTTATGCTATGGAGGGTCACCACAACCCACAGTCTTGAAGCACTTGCTTATTCTCGTATAAGGTCCCACAGAAAAAAAAGAGCATATTAAGCATGCGGATCATGATCTATGCCTCTTTAAGCACAGTCTCCCATGGTTTCAAAAACTCCCAAATTTATGGAACACCCCCCCCCATGGGCCAAACAGTGGGTATGTCTTGGTGACAGAAGGCATTGTACTTAATTATGCATCTGAAATAGTAGATGGTCTTGAGCAAGGGGGGCTGGATTAGAACAGGGCTTTTCAACCAGTGGTATGCGTACCAGCAGTGGTAGTGTAGCACCTGGCAGGTGGTACGCAATCTCTAGCCAAGTGTAGTGGGAGGGGGAATGAGCTAACGCAACTCTGCACAGACCTGGAGAAGATCAGCAGGAGCTGCAGGACTTGGCAGAAGCTCCAGGATCTGTGCGCATGGCTACATGCTAATTGGAGCTTCCAGTGTACCCAGAAAAGGAAAAGGTGGAGGAGGAGGGCAGAGAGAGAAGAAGTTATAAAAGGAGCAGGTTTTGGCGGGAGAGGGAGAGGAAAAAAAACCACATGGAGAAAGAGAGAGAAGAGGCTCTTGTTAGCGAAGTGCTGAGGAGTGAGTGAGAGGGGTCTTTCCAAGCGAGGTGAGTGAGAGACCGAGCGAGCGGCCTTTGCGAGCGACGGGTGAGTGAGAGAGAAAGACCGAACGAGTGGCCTTTGCGAGCAACGTGAGGGAATGAGAGACTGAGGGCGCGGCCTTTGCAAGTGACGTGAGACTGAGGGAGCAGCCTTGGCAAGCGACGTGAGAGACCAAGCGAGTGCCTTTGTGAGCGATGGGGGAGTGAGTGACAGACCAAGCAAGAGGCCTTTGTGAGTGACATGAGAGATTGAACGAGTGGCCGTTGCGAGTGACGGGGGGAGTGAGAGAGAGACCAAGCGAGCGGCCTTTGCGAGTGATGGGGAGTGAGAGACTGAGCGAGAGGCCTTTGCAAGCAACGGGTGAGAGACCGAGCAAGTGGCTTTTGCAAGCAATGTGAGGGAATGAGAGACTGAGGGCGCGGCCTTTGCAAGCGACGTGAGACTGAGGGAGCAGCCTTGGCAAGCGACGTGAGAGACCAAGCGAGTGCCTTTGTGAGAGATGGGGGAGTGAGTGACAGACCGAGCAAGAGGCCTTTGCGAGTGACATGAGAGATTGAACGAGTGGCCGTTGCGAGTGATGGGAGAGTGAGAGACAGAGACCAAGCGAGCGGCTTTTGCGAGCGACGGGGAGTGAGAGACTGAGCAAGAGGCCTCTGCGAGTGACATGAGAGATTGACTGAGCGGCCTTTGCGAGCGATGGGGGAGTGAGAGAGAGACACCAAGCGAGCGGCTTTTGCGAGCGACGGGGAGTGAGAGACCGAGCGAGAGACCTTTGCGAGCGATGTGAGAGACCGAGCGAGCACCCTTGTGAGGAACGTGAGTGAGAGACGGGGCGTTGTCTTACCTGACGAAGATGGATAGTCTTTGCTCACGGGGCGTCATCAGGGTTATACAAGCTTCAAGACGCCCATCCACGAACCGTATCTACGAGGCCACGTGGAAAAGTTTCCAGTCATGGTGCTCTGAACAAAAATTGTCACTCGAAGAGCTCACAATCCCCAACAATTTTTGTTCAGAGCACCTTGATTGGAAACTTTTCCACGTGGCCTCGTAGATACGGTTCGTGGATGGGCGTCTTGAAGCTCGTATAACCCTGATTACGCCCCGTGAGCAAAGACCCCTAGTTAGGATGGACCGCTCAAGCACCAGACGGCTAGTTGTAGCCATTGTGGCTCTGGGTGTGAGATCGCCCCCTGACTGAGAGAGATCTTCTCTGGAGGAATCCGCCATGGATTCGCGAGAGAGAGACTCCTCAGGTCTGCGAACCAAGGTCTTTCGTGTCTATCCTGTTGGTGGATTATCCATCTCCAGTGCTGGAGAATGAGTGAGCGGCCTTTGAAAGCGACATGAGAGACCAAGCCAGTGACCTTTGCAAGTACGGGTGAGGAGAAAGAGAGAGGAGAGGAGAGGGAGACAGGAAGACGGGCCAACCAGCCACCTGACCACCAAGGTTATGGTGCATATTAATATATATGGAGAAATTCATCATATATTCATCCGTGCAAAGGGAAAGCGATTCAGCGAAGGAACCGCTACCAAAGAAATTAAAACGGGCGCCAAATCGAAAATAAAGTGAAGATTATTTGAAGTCTGGATTTTATTGCATGGAAGAAAACGACCAGCAGCTTCCTGCTTCCGTTATCTGCAACGAAGTATTATCCAGGCGTGCCACAAAGCCTTCTCGAATCCAGAGACGTTTTACAACAAAACACAAGCAGAGCCAGTAGTGTTTTTCGTGAAGAAGAGAGACAAATTTATAAAGCGCTGTGCTGCTTTCGTGAAGTCCACAACCGTCTGGAATTGACATCACACACCGCAATTTGAAGGAACTTTTCAATGAAAAAACACGGACCGAGTTCGGGAGCCAAGTTGCAAAACTGTAGCCGGAAGTGTGTGTGTGGGGGGGGGGAAGCTGTCGTAGCATTGCTGTCATTTGGTTCCACGTACTTGTGCGAGAAGGCGTTCCTTTATTAACGTGAATTAAAAACTAAGGAAAGGAATTGTCTTCAGTTGGAATCTGACTTAATTCTACCAGGAAGCTCTCTCCAGCCACGAGGGCAAAGATTAACGTCAGGGAAACAGGCACAAGTTTCCCACTAAAAAGTGTGATAAGTGGGTGTACACCATGCTCAATAGTAGTTACTGTGAGAGGGACCTCGGAGTCCTAGTAGACAATCACCTAAATATGAGCCAGCCGTGTGCTGCAGCTGCCAAAAAGGCCAACACAGGGCTAGGCTGCATGAACAGAGGGATAGAATCAAGATCACGTGAAGGATTAATACCACTTTACAAGGCCTTGGTAAGGCCACCCTTGGAATACTGCATCCAGTTCTGGTCACCACGATGTAAAAAAGATGTTGAGACTCTAGAGAGAGTACAGAGAAGAGCAACAAAGATGATTAGGGGACTGGAGGCTAAAACATACGAGGAACGGTTGCTAGAATTGGGTATATCTAGTTTAACGAGACAAAAGGACAAGGGGGGACAGGATAGCAGTATTCCAATATCTCAGGGGCTGCCATAAAGAAGAGGGAATTAAGCTATTTTCCAAAGCACCTGAAGGCAGGACAAGAAGCAACGGATGGAAACTGACCAAGGAGAGAAGCAACCTAGAACTAAGGAGAAACTTCCTGACAGTGAGAACAATTAACCCGTGGAACCGCCTGCCTCCAGAAGGGGTAAATGCTCCAACACTGGAAGTTTTAAGAAGAGTCTGGACAGCCATTTGTCCGAAATGGTGTAGGGTTTCCTGCCTGAGCAGGGGGTTGGACTAGATGACCTCCAAGGCCCCTTCCAACTTTACTACTATTACTATTACATTTTTCCTGGGGTTTTTTTTTTTTTTTGCTCATCAAGTTTTTCACACCTTGCTAAGCCACTGGTGGTACTCGAATATTGCCATGTCCTAAAGGTGGTACAATCTGTGAAAAGGTGGGGAAAGGCCTGTGTTAGACAATAGGACACGAGGAGGAGGTACGGTTTTTTTTGAAGTTCTCGATGTCTTTCTTCAGCATGTCCTCCATGTAATAAACGGCATCTCCGTTCTCAAATACGAGCCGGTCAATCATCTTCATCAGCTCGGTCATCTGAGCCTCCCGTTCGTTTCCTTTGGCCGTGTTGTTGAAAGTCAGGTAATGGTTCCCACATTCAGCAAGATATTTCTTTTGATCTTGGAAAGACATGAAACGTTCACGAGAAAGACCTTCCAGCTTATCTTTGTGGGTGAACAGGACGATCATATAATTCCTGCCTTTCTCGCGGAAGATCTCTTTGATCATCCGAGCCACGTCCTTCTCCTCCTGGGAGAAACGGCCGGGGCGCATGACCCAGAGAATAACGTGGGGACCCGGGGACCATAATTTGCTCACTTCAGCAGCATTTGCCCTCTCTGGATGGCCGGTGTCGAGGAAGCCAGGCGTGTCAACCACCACAATCCCCCTGCCGTTCCACAGCGTCTCCTCCTTTTGGCAACTTTTTGTAGCTGACGTAGGTGACATCCCAAAGACTCGTCTCCCCAGGATGGTGTTCCCCGTCGCACTTTTCCCAGATCCGGTTCTGCCCACGAGGACGATCCGCCGTTCGGGCCCTACAACCCAAAGGGGAGAGAAGAAGGGGAATCGGTCAGTCAGCGTATGGTCATCGCAGCGGGTCTGTCATGGTTGACTTGCTACGCAGCTTCTTCGCTTGCATCCGGACAACGGTAACGGGACGGGGTGGGGGAGGGAAGGCACTGGAAGGTTAAAGAGGAATGCAACACAACACAACACAACAAGGTGGTTCAGCTGGGAAAGTCCGAGGCAGTCGGATCGTTGCCGAAACAAAGTGAATGCCAACGATCGGTGGACCATGGACAGTGGGAGGACCGTGAGGGAAGGAGCAAAAACTCTCCGATGCTGTTTGTACGCGAAATCGTTCGAATCGGCTTTTCTCCTTCTGTAACCAGACGGAACCTTCAGTAAAGTTTATTCTCTTGGTAAACAATAAATGTCCTGGGAGTTTTGTTTGCTGTCTAACCAAGTGTAATGGTCGACCTCCTTCGCCCTCCACCCAGGACAGCGAGTCCCACCCAATCCCACCCCCCAAGGGTTACAGACTTTACCTCGGATGCTTCCAGCCGTTTCCGGACGATTGGCCCAGGCCGAATCTGGGGATTTCTGGATGAAAAACAAAACAGAATCAGCCAACGGAGAGACTGGCCTTGCTTGGAGGTTGCCAGGAACTCCCCTCCCCCCCCAGAAGACAGAGGCAAGAATTGGGGGAGAGGGAGTTAAAAGAGGGTTACCCCCTCCCTCGCCGCCGGTTTTGAGGCAAACTCATCCTGATCCTCTACCATCTGGAGGAAATTGACTGATACATCAGTCAGCTGCCCTGGAAGACTGTTCACACCCCTTCCTGGACCCCCTTTTCCAGAAGTCTTCCCCTCTCCAACATCAGTACACTGATTACATTGTGGGCACAGGTAGTTTTCGAGTTACAACAGTTCATTTAGCCGTCAAAGTTAACGACACCACTGAAAAGAACGACCATTTTTTCACAACGAGAGAGGAGGGAGCCCTTGTTCTCGTGTAAACAGAGCAGCTCCGCCAGATGCCCAGAAAGAGCACTGCCCTCACCCGCTTCCACTCTGCCATTTGATTCTGCTCTATGACACGCTGATCCCGTACCATGGGCAACTCGTACAGCCGGTTGGCGTAGTGTCTCCCCCCGTTCTCCGAAACGACGCTCTGCACCATCTCCATCAGCTCCGAGACCTGTGCCTGACACTCGGCTCCTGCGGATTTGTTGTTGAAGCCACAGAAACGGTTCCCGCACCGCCGGATCAGCTCCCGCAGATTGAGGTTGTCAGACATTCGAAGGTAGTCCTGCAGGGGGGTTCCTCCCAAGTCCTCCAAGCAGGTGAAGAGGACGATCGTGTGCCTGGCAGATTCGTCCCCAAAGATCTCCCAGACACACTTTGCAGCTGTGACATCTTCGGCGGTGAAGCGTCCCACCTGGGTCACAAAGATCAGGGCGTGGGGGCCAGGCCGGGAGAGTTCGACGCAAGCCCCAATCTCACGTTGCATAGCCTCATTGTGGTTTTTAGAATCGAAAATGTCGGGTGTGTCAACCACGGAGATCTTCCTGTCCTGCCAGCTTCCCTGCCCTCTTTGGCACTTCAGGGTGGTGGTCTTCGGCTCCAGGACAGACTTGAAAACCGGCTGGCCGAGGATGGTGTTGCCCGTGGCGCTCTTCCCGCCTCCGGACTTCCCCACCAGGATCAGGCGGTGTTCGGCGTCCTCCCCTGTGAGTTTGGAAGACGACGTTACAAAAAGGAATCGAGATCTTTCTCACCACATGTCGGGGTGTCATTGAGCAGGCTGGAAATGGGGACAAGTTTGGAATAGAGTCATCCCTGCCCGGAAGTGGTTCCGTGAAATTTTCATATGAATCTCCCGGAGTTGCTAAAATGGGCCGCTCAGCCGTGCCAATTCCCCCAACGTGCGAATCTCACTTTAGCAGATGTCTGAATATAGCCACTGTGTCCAGCCCCCATGACCAACGCTGGAGCCAAGCAAATTGAGATTGAGCTGTGGGGAGGCACACGGCTGCTAGTGTGTGCTGCATGACGATGGAACCGGGCCAGGGTACGGGCATAAATATCAGAAGGCACCTTGGAGGTCTTCTAGTCTGACTTGCTCAACAGCCTCTACTGCACCACCATGATCGCTAGTGGCACAATGGGTAGAACTGCAGCATTGCAGGCAAATGCTGCCCACTGCCAGGAGTTCGATGCTGACCGGCTCAAGGTTGACTCAGCTCTTCTGTCCCTCCGTGGTCGCTAAAATGTGAGGGGCCAATAAGGTGACTCTGTAAACCGCTTAGAGGGGGCTCGGAAGTACTGTGACGCGATATATAAGTGCTATTGCTATTGCTGAGTGGAATGGAGGAGCCTAGTGCAGTGACCATGTGGCGGGATGGGTAGAATAGGCAGCAGTCACAAGTGCAAAAGGAGGAGGAGGAGGAGAAGGAGGAGGACGACGACTGTGGGGTCCCTGGTGCTCTCTGAGCTTGATGTCTTGCTTGCAGACATTTCATGACCCAGCTAGGGAACCTCATCAGGGTTAGTAAAGAGTGCTGTTTGTGGCAGCCCCCCAAATATTGGAATGCTGCTATCGTGTCATACACGCACACCCCCTGTCCTTCTTTTCTCTAGACTGGTCAAATCCCAATTCCTGCACCCCTTCTTTTAGCTTCCAGCTCCCTGATCTTCTTTGTTGCTCTTCAGCCCTCCCAAACGCCAGACGTGGCCTCCTCACTTACCCGGCGTGGCCTTCTCATCCGTGGCTGTCTGGAAGAGGGGAAAGGAAACACGGGTCAGACAGGGGTCTCGACTCCCGCAGGCCTCGGCGTGTCTGGTGAGGCAGGGAGCCAGCTGCCACCCCGTTCATGCTAGAAACTGCGGCTTGGTCCCTACCCTATTCAAGGCATTGCCCATAAGGTGCTGTGGTGCCCCCACCTAAAAGGGGGAGGGGTTCAGATGCTCTGATGGGACCAAGGAAGGAGGGGCAGGGAGGGAAGGGAAGAGGGAAGGGATGGCAGGGGATACAGGTCGAGGGGAAAAAGGGGAAGTAGAGCTGGGAGACCCCTTTCTTGGGGGGTATTACATGCTCTCCACCCATTAACTACCCTCCTTCCCCCCGCCTGCCGGTCCTAACATAAGCGTCTCTGCTGTCCCACCCACCCATTGGGGTCTCCCAGAGAGGAGGAACCCCTTGCTCTCATGTAAACCGGCAGAAAGAGCACCGTCCTCGCCCAGTTCCACTCTGCCATTTGATTCTGCTCTATGACACGCTGATCCCGTACCTGGGGCGCCTTGTGCAGCCGGACGACGTAGTGTCTTCCCCCGTTCTCCGAAACGACTCTCTGCACCTTCTCCATCAGCTCCGAGACCTGCGCCTGCCACTCGGCTCCCGCGGCCTTGTTGTTAAAGCCACAGTAGCAGTTCCCGCACCCCTGGATCAGCTCCCGCAGATTGCGGTTGTCAGAATTTCGGACGTACTCCTGCAGGGATTCCCCTCCCAAATCCTCCTTGCAGGTGAAGAGGACGATCGTGTGCCTGGCGGACTCGTCCCCAAAGATCTCCCGGACAAGCTTTGCAGCTGTCACATCTTTGGCGGTGAAGCGTCCCACCTGGGTCACAAAGATCAGGGCGTGGGGGCCAGGCCGGGAGAGTTCGACGCAAGCCGCGATCTCATTTTGCACAATCTCACTGTGGTTTTCAGAATCGAAAATGTTGGGTGTGTCGACCACGGAGATCTTCCTGTCCTGCCAGTTTCCCTGCCCCCTTTCGCACTTCAGGGTGGTGGTCTTCGGCTCCAGGATGGACTTGAAAACCGGCCGGCCGAGGATGGTGTTGCCCGTGGCGCTCTTCCCGCCTCCAGACTTTCCCACCAGGATCAGGCGGAATTCGGCGTCCTCCCCTGTGAGTTTGGAAGACGACGTTACAAAAAGGAATCGAGATATTTCTCACCACATGTCGGGGTGTCACTGAGCAGGCTGGAAATGGGGACACGTTTGGAAAAGAGTCTTCCCTGCCCGGAAGTGATTCAGTGAAATATTCATATGAATCTCCCGGAGTTGCTAAAATGGGCGGCTCAGCCGTGCAGATTCCCCGAACGTGCGAATCCCACTTTAGCAGATGTCCGAATACAGCCACTGTGTCCAGCCCCCATGAGCAAAGCTGGAGCCAAGCAACTTGAGACTGAGCTGTGAGGAGGCTCAGGGCTGCTGGTGTGTGCTGTGTGACAATGGGCCCGGGCCAGGGTTCTGGCATAATATTGGAGGGATCTTGGAGGTCTTCTAGTCCATCCCCCTGGTTAACAGCCTCTACTGCATCACCATGATCTCTAGTGGTGCAGTGGGTAGAATGCAGCATTGCAGGCAAACTTTGCCCACTGCCAGGAGTTCAATGCTGACTGGCTCAAGGTTGACTCAGCTCTTCTGTCCCTTCGTGGTCACTAAAATGTAAACCGCTTAGAGGGGGCTCGGAAGTACTGTGAAGCGATATATAAATGCTATTGCTAAGAGAGGTGGAAGGTATGAGCCTAGGGAGGTGTGAGAATCCGATTAAAGCCATAGGGAAACGTTTAGGGCAGGGATCTCAAACTGCCAGCCGGCGGGCTGGATGCGTCATCCAGAAGCCGCGCCCACCCCATTGCCAGCAATGGCAAAACAGTCCTGTGACGTCGCGAGTTTGACATGTCTAGTTTAGGGGGACCTGGCGTGGAAGGAAGAAGACCAGCGGGGGAAGGGAAATGCTTTCAGTGGCCACGTGGCGGGATGGGTAGAATAGGTAGCGGGTACTGTTGTGTCCTTGTGGTCAGTCAGAAGTGCAAATGACCCCTGGGGTGCTGCAGGGACTGTAATTTCAGGGTCGGATCTTAAGTAACCTTTTTGGGGGGATCCACTATAATGTAAAACAGCTGTTAAGACAGGGGTCCCCAACCCCTGGTCCCTGAACCGCCACTGGTCCACCGCATGCCGGCAACCGAGCCACGCAAATAAGCGAAGTACACGAAACCAATGCACCTCCCGGTCCACAGAAAAACCCCCTCTCCACAGAACCGGTCCCTGGTGCCCAAACGTTTGAGGGCCACTGCACTAAGAAAGCCATTCTACATCAAGGTCTCCCTGTTGCCATACCTTCCATCGTCACTTCTTTGCGTTCTCCAGCCGTAGGACGAAGAGGAGCACCAATCACGGAATCTGGAACTGGATAGGAGCCGGGGATGTGTGTTGGTTTGTGCGTGTCTCCTCCAGATTAATCCTTAGCTTGTGTTTGACTCTAGGTTTCAGACAGCACCTAGTCTGCCGGCAACCGGGCCACGCAAATAAGCGAAGCACATGAAACGAACGCACCCCCCACCCCGGCCCAAAGAAAAACCCCTCTCCATGGAACCTGGTCCCTGGTGCCCCAAAGTTTGGGGGCCACTGCGCTAAGAGACCCCTCCTACGTCAAGGAGATGAGAAGAATCACCTGGTGTCCCCGCTGCCGTATCTTCCATTGTCACTTCTTCCCATTCTCCATCCGCAAGACAAAGAGGAGCATCCATCACGGAATCTAGAACTGGATAGAAGCCGGGGGTGTGTGTTGGTTTGTGCGTGTCTCAGCCAGACTGATACCTTAGCTTGTGTTTGACTCTAGGTTTCAGGCACCACCTAGTCTGCCGGCAACCGGGCCATGCAAATAAGCGAAGCACACGAAACCAACGGGCACACCCCCCGGGTCCACAGAAAACCCCCTCTCCATGGAATCTGGTCCCTGGTGCCCCAAAGTTTGGGGGCCACTGCGCTAGGAGGCCCGTCCTACGTCAAGGAGATGAGAAGAATTACCTGGTCTGCCGGCTGCCGTAACGTCCATCATCAGCTCTCCCCATTCTCCCTCTGCAGGACGAAGAGGAGCATCCATCACAGAATCTGGAACCGGATAGAAGCCGGGGGTGTGTGTTGGTTTGTGCGTGTCTCATCCAGACTGATACCTTAGCTTGTGTTTGACTTTAGGTTTCAGGCACCACCTAGTCTGACGGCAACCGAGCTACACAAATAAACGAAGCACACGAAACCAACGGGCACACCCCTCTCCGGTCCACAGAAAAACCCCTCTCCATGGAACCTGGTCCCTGGTGCCCCAATGTTTGGTGGCTTCAAGAGGTCCGTCCCACGTCAAGGAGATGAGAAGAATTACCAGGTCTGCCGGCTGCCGTAATGTCCATTATCAGGTCTCCCCATTCTCCCTCCGCAGGACGAACAGGAGCATCCATCAGGGAAACTGGAGCTGGATAGAAGCCACTTGTGTGTTTGTGTGTGTATCTCATCCAGATGGATCCTTAGCTTGTTTTTGACTCTAGGTTTCAGATAGCACCTAGTCTGCCTCAAGATCAGGATATAGGGGAGGAGGAGGAGGAGGAGGAGGAGGAAGAATGGGGGGTCTTCAGTGGTCCCCTAAGCTGGGTGGTTTTTTTGCAGACGTTTCATGATCCAATGAAGGTAACATCATCAGTGCTAGTGAGGAATACTGTTTGTGGCAGTCCCCCAAATACTGGAATCGTGCTATCTAGTCCCCCACCATTCCTTCTTTTCTCTAGACTGGCCAATCCCAATTCCTGCACTCATTCTTCCGATGTTTTAGGCTCCAGCTTCCGAATCCTCTTTGTTCCTCTTCAGCCCCCCCCCCAAACGCCAGACGTGGCTTCCTCACTTACCCGGCTTGGCCTCGTCATCCGTAGCTGCCTGGAAGAGTGGAAAGGAAACACGGGTCAGACAGGGGTCTCGACTCCCAGAGGCCTCGGCGTGTCCAGTGTGGCGGGGGGCCAGCTGCCACCCCGCTCATGCCCAGAAACAGCAACCTGGTCCCCCACCCCACTCAAGACATCGTGCAGAAGCTGCTCTAGAGCCCCCCAGCCAGTGGTGAGATTCAGCCGGTTCGCAACCGGGAGCTCATTTTTTGCTGCCGAGGCCCAGAATGGACTTCCGGACGCAGCATCCACACAGAGAACCGGTTGTTCACATATTGGAATCCCACCACTGTCCCCAGCTAACCGGGGGAGGGAGGGGTTCAAATATTTCAAATACCCAGGGAGGAAAGGAGGGGTAGGGAGGGAGGGGGAGAAGGAAGGAATGGCGGGGGACACAGGTGGAGGAGAAAAAAGGGAGGTAGAGCTGGAGGACCCCTTTCTTGGGGGGGGGCATTGCATGCTCTCCACCCATTAGCCACCCTCCCTGATTGCCTGTCCTACCATGAGAACGTTTGATTCTGCTCTACGACACGCTGGTCCCGTACCGTGGGCAACTCGTACATCCAGCTGACGTAGTGTCTCCCCCCGTTCTCCGAAACGACTCTCTGCACCAGCTCCATCAGCTCCGAGACCTGTTCCTGCCACTCGGCTCCCGCAGCCTTGTTGTTGAAGCCACAGTAGCGGTTCCCACACCCCTGGATCAGCGCCCGCAGATTGCGATTGTTGGAATTTCGGACGTATTCCTGCAGGGATTCCCCTCCCAAATCCTCCTTGCAGGTGAAGAGGACGATCGTGCGCCTGGCCGACTCGGCCTCAAAGATCTCCCGGACACGTTTTGCAGCTGTCACATCTTCGGTGGTGAAGCGCCCCACCTGGGTCACAAAGATCAGGGCGTGGGGTCCAGGCCGGGAGAGTTGGACGCAAGCCGTGATCTCATTTTGCACAATCTCACTGTGGTTTTCAGAATCGAAAATGTTGGGCGTGTCGATCACGGAGATCTTCCTCTCGTGCCATCTTCCTTGACCCCTTTGGCAGCTCACGGTGGTGGACGTTCCCCCCCGGGACTCAAACTCTCTCCGGCCGAGGATGGTGTTGCCCGTGGCGCTCTTCCCTACTCTGGACTTTCCCACCAGGATCAGCCGGAACTCGGCGTCGTCCCCTGTGGGTTTGGGAGACAGTGTTACACAAAGGAATCGAGACGTTTCACGCGTGCCCAGGAAGGAACGGGAGGCCATGATCCAACATGTCGGGGCGTCAGTGAGCAGGCTGGAAACGGGGACAATTTTGGAAAAGAGTCACCCCTGCCCTGAAGCCGTTCGGGGTTCTTTTTTTGTGTGTGAATCTCCCAGAGTCCCTAAAATGGGATACCGTATTTTCCGGTGTATAAGACGACTTTCTAAACCCTGAAAATCTTCTCAAAAGTCGGGGGTCGTCTTATACGCCCAGTCGCCTTATACGCCGGAATATACGGTACTCTGCCGTGCAGATTTCCACAAAATGCAAACCCCACTTTATTTATTTATTTATTTATTTATGAGACTTATATACCGCTTTAAGTGCAAGCACTCTCTAAGCGGTGTACACCAGTGTACTTTAGCAAAACTCCACTGATAAAACAATGAAGCTCCAAGTCAGGAAATTACACACTGGTACCAGCAATCCTTTGAGCCCCACCTCAGTCCCCCCCCCCCATTTGATGTCCAAATATGGCCGCTGCGTCCAGCCCCCAGCAGCAAAGCTGAGTCCGAGAGAGCGGAGTGACCCAGAAAAGACTCGGGGCTGCTGGCAGAGAGCTGCAGGAGGACGCCTGACCCACTGGGCTGGGAGGAAGGATGCAGAGGCAGGCTGGGCCAAGCAGAAATGAACCCCCCTGCTTCCCCCCCCCCCGCAAAGCTTGCAAGCTGGCTTCCAACTTGGTTTGTTTCAGACAGAGTGCGATTCAAGACGATCCCGTGCGGCCCTGAGGAATTCCTGACTGCTGGGGGGGGGGGGCTAGATCCAAGGGGTTTGCTGAAATGGGTCTTGGGGGCCACTCCCCACCCGCACGAGTGCCCCACAGCAGCCCCTTCCTCCTGCCTGCCTGTTCCTCCCAGCCCACCAGTAAGACTGCCACCTCCCTTCCGCGGCCATCCTGTGTGTTTTCCCCGTCACCGGATCCGTCCGACGTGAGTGTCTGAGAGCCGAAAAACCGGCAGGGACTGTGGAAGGAGGGCCACCCGTGGGCCACAGAGCCGTGCTCAGGAGCGGGGAGGGGGTCTCCCCTGAGGGGCCAAGGCACCCACTCCTCTAGGCCGGCCCGCGAGGCTCTGGCTGTTGACTATGGGGAGAGACCCCATCCAGCGCAGCTCTTCCTCTGAACTGGCACCAGCTCAGCCTCCCCGTGGTTGCCGTGCTGCCCCCCCAAAAGGCGTACTCTCCTCACTTACCCACGCTGATCTCTTTCTCCATAGTTCCCTGGAAGAGTGGAAAGGAAACACGGGTCAGGCGTGGCCCCGGCCTGTCCAGTGGGGCCCGAGAGAGCAAGCTGACCCCCCCGGACCCAGAAACCCCAGCCTGGTCCCCCCAGCCCCATTCAAGGCTGCTCTGGAGCATCCTTCCCCCCCCAGCTAAGGGAGGGGGTCTGAGATTCTCTGAAGGGACCCAGGGAGGGAAGAAAGGAGGGGCAGGGAGGGAGGGGGAGAGGGAAGGGATGGGGGGGGCGAAAAGCAGGTGGAGGAGAGAAAGAGGAAGTAGACCTCATTTATTTGGAGGGGGGGCGTTGCACGCTTTAGCACCGGAGTTTTATTTTTACAAGGACTCCTCTGGACCAGGATGGAGGGAGCGGGGGGGGGGCTGGATGGTTGTCCAGGCCCCCAAAGGGTTTCCCCTTTCCGGAAGCCTCCACACACACACCCCCTCCCCTTTAAGGACCCCCTTCTCAGACTTACCGGGCGGGTGGTCCGATAGCTCATTCCTGGCTGTGGATGCTTGTGCGGAGGGATTCCCTCACCCCCACCCCGGACTGGGAAAGAGAGAGAAGATGGGGGGGTAAGACCCCCCTTTTTTTGAGCGGGCAGACCCTTTTCGGGCGGGCGAGGGGAGGGGGAGGACACGGGGGCGCTGCCCCTCCCCTCCCGCCTTGCCCAGCCACGCCTTGCCTCCAAGAGGTGCCCACCCCTCCTTTTGGTCCGCCTGAGACCCCCCCCTCCAGGGGACCCGTGTGGGGGAGCAGGGGGTCCCTCCGCTTTCAAGAGACCCGAAGAAGCCCCCACCCCGGAAATGGGGGGGGCAGTTCCATCTTCCCCCCCTCCCACTCCCCCAGCCCTCCCCACCGCAAGGGGGACGCAAGCCAGGAGGAGGAAAGTCGGAGGGGGGGGTCGCCAGTCTCCTTTGCTCGGACGGCCCATCCCCCCCCCGATTTGGTGGGGAGGGGGGGAGTGCCGCCTTGCGTCTCCTCCGCCCGGGAAGACCAGGAGGGGAGGGGACCGGGGGGGGCGGCGGGCAGGGGAGGCAAAGGGGAGGGGGCGGAGGTTCCTCGGCTCCTGAAAGACCCCCCCCCGAGAGGCTTCCCCCAGGGCGGACACCCCCTCCCTACCTGCGCTCCTTCGGAAAGAGCCCCTGTCTCTCCTCTGGCCCCCTCCCCACCTGCGCCTCTCCCTGGGCGGACCCCCCCTCTCCCCCTCCCCACCGAAGACCCCCTGGGGCCTCCGCAGCCCCCTCCCCACTTGCCCTGCCGGAGGAAACCCCCCTGGAGCCTCCGCCCCCTCCCCATCTTCCCTGCCGAAGGAAACCCCCCCGGAGACTCCACCCCCTCCCCACCTGCCCTGCTGGAAGAACCCCCCCCCCAGTCTCCGCCCCCTCCCCACCTGCCCTGCCGGAGAAAGACCCTCCCCTCCGGAGCCTCCGCCCCCTCCCCACCTGCCCTGCCTGGAAAGGACCCCTCCCCCCGGAGCCTCCGCCCCTCCCCCTTCCATGCGGGGAAGGACCCCTCCCCCTCCGCCCACACTGCCTGCTGGAGAAGCCCCCCCCAGAGTCTCCACCCCCTCCCCACCTGCCCTGCCGGAGAAAGACCCTCCCCCCCGGAGCCTCCGCCCCCTCCCCACCTGCCCTGCCGGAGGAAAAACCCCCCCCGGAGACTCCACCCCCTCCCCACCTGCCCTGCTGAAGAAAGACCCCCCCCCCGGAGCCTCCGACCCTCCCCACCTGCCCTGCTGGAAGAACCCCCCCCCGAGTCTCCCACCCCTCCCCACCTGCCCTGCCGGAGAAAGACCCTCCCCCCCCCGGAGCCTCCGCCCCCTCCCCACCTGCCCTGCTGGAAGAACAGCCCCCCGAGTCTCCACTCCCCCTCCTCACCTACGCTGCTGCTGCTACGGGCAAACCTGCGCGCGATCCCGGGCTGGCTCTGGATCTCCCCGCGCCTGGCGGGATCAGCCAGCTGCTGCTGGAGCCGTCGAGCCGCCCCGCTCCCCTTTTGCCCGGCCGGGCGGGGGCGGGCAGCGGCAGAGGGAGGGGACACGGCCCGGGCCCTCCCCTCCCTCCCCTCCCCCCCAGGAAAGGGAAAGTGCCGACCAACGCGGCCTTTCACTTTCTACCTCGCCTTCCTTCCCGCTTTCGCTTCCCCCCCCCCGCCGCCGCCTTAGGGGGTTGCAGTGGGACAGCCCCCCCCCAAGCTCATCACAAGGGGCGCCCCCAGCCCCTTCACCGGCCGGAGACCCCCAGCCCCGACTTAGAATAGAAGGACAGCGCTGGAAGGGACCCCCGGAGGTCTTCTAGTCCAGCCCCCCCCTGCTCCAGCGGGAGACCCTGACAATCATAAAATGACAGCAGTGGAAGGGACCCCCGGGAGGTCTTCTAGTCCAGCCCCCTGCTCCAGCGGGAGACCCTGACAATCATAAAATGACAACGCTGGAAGGGACCCCTGGAGGTCTTCTAGTCCAGCCCCCCTGCTCCAGCGGGAGACCCTGACGGAAGCGTAGAAGGACAGCGCTGGAAGGGACCCCCGGAGGTCTTCTAGTCCAGCCCCCTGCTCCAGCGGGAGACCCTGACAATCATAAAATGACAGCGCTGGAAGGGACCCCCGGAGGTCTTCTAGTCCAGCCCCCTGCTCCAGCGGGAGACCCTGACAATCAAAATGACAGCGCTGGAAGGGACCCCCGGAGGTCTTCTAGTCCAGCCCCCTGCTCCAGCGGGAGACCCTGACAATCATAAAATGACAGCAGTGGAAGGGACCCCGGGGAGGTCTTCTAGTCCAGCCCCCTGCTCCAGCGGGAGACCCTGACAATCATAAAATGACAGCGCTGGAAGGGACCCCCGGAGGTCTTCTAGTCCAGCCCCCCTGCTCCAGCGGGAGACCCTGACAATCATAAAACGACAGCAGTGGAAGGGACCCCCGGGAGGTCTTCTAGTCCAGCCCCCTGCTCCAGCGGGAGACCCTGACGGAAACGTAGAATGACAGCGCTGGAAGGGACCCCCAGAGATCTTCTAGTCCAGCCCCCTGCTCCAGCGGGAGACCCTGACGGAAGCGTAGAAGGACAGCGTTGGAAGGGACCCCCGGAGGTCTTCTAGTCCAGCCCCCGTGCTCCTGCGGGAGACCCTGACGGAATCATAGAATGATCTCAGAATAACAGCCTTCAAATTGCTCAATTGCTCCTGGATACAGATGTCAACTTCACCCTTTGTGCTTTGGGTGTATGGGTAGCTGAGTCCTTTCGGAAGGGACCCTACACAACCTGGTTGGTGTGTGAGTTCCCCATCTCCTTTGTTTGATCATAAATGCACACCATGCCAAAAGCCGGACACGGCCTCAATATTCCTTCGGCTGCGTGACCGGAGAATCATAAAGGATCCCTCTTTCCCCCAGCCGGGACAGAATCCATGACATGTCACACTCACAATCAGCCACCCTGGCCATCTTCCCTGGTGCTGGGTGGGGGAACCGGGGGGGGGAGCAGAGCAGGGCCTCTAAAGCGGCCCTCACCCCAGCTAAAGGAACTCTGGGGTGCAGTGGACAGCCGAGGGAAATAAGCGATCAAGCAGGGAGCAGATCCTTTGCACGAACCGTCACGCCAGGTGAAGGTGGGCAAAGATTGTGAAAAATAAAGGCGTGCCACATAGCCCCCTCCCCCCGTGATGTTTGAGAACCAAAGCACGGGGCGGAGGGGGGCAGAACCATGCAGGCCTTCAGAGGTCACGGGGTGGGGGGAGCAAAGGCGTGCCACATAGCCCCCTCCCACCGTGACGTTTGAGACCCCCCCCATCCCAGCTGGCTGCAAGGCCCAATCAAGCTGAGGAGCTCAGAAACCAGACAATTCCCAACCCTCCCAATCCCTCTAAAGCAGTGGTTCTCAACCTTTTTAATGTCGCGACCCCCAATCGGTCGTAAGTCGAGGACTACTCAACCGGTCGTAAGTCGAGGACTGCTCAACGGGTGCAGCACCGTTTGCAGAATGGGACTTTTGGCGGGCTCAGCAGGGCAGAGACAGCCTGGACAATTCCTATTGGCTTTTGCAAGCCAATAGAATTAGATTCTATTCAAGAGAGTCTATTCTATTGGCTTTCAAAAGCCAATAGAATAAAAGGGAGTAGCACAGCTAAGGAAAAGGGAAAAAAAAATGGCAGACTGTGTTGTTTGGCGACCCCCCGTGAAATGGTCGTTCGACCCCAAATGGGGTCCCGACCCACAGGTTGAGAACCACTGCTCTAAAAGTCTGTCTCGGGGGTAGGGAGCCAAGGTAGGGGGGAGTGAGCCAGCTCCTAGCAGACTCCCGCCATCACATGGCCAGAACGGGAGCAGTACCCAGTGGTTGGTGCATACAGCCCTGTCGCTTCCAAACGCCACGTGCTCGCTCCTCTGGCGGAGTCCGTTGGGGCGACGGCGCGCGTGCCCACAGAGAGGGCTCCAGGTGCCACTTCCGGCACGCGGGCCAGAGGTTCGCCCCCACTGTCCTAGGTGGCTTCTCTCCTTGATTAGCTTCCATCTGTTGCTTCTTGTAACCCAGAGGTTCTCAACCTTTTTAATGCCGCGACCTCCAACCGGTCGTAAGTCAAGGACTACTCAACCGGTCGTAAGTCGAGGACTACTCAACTGGTGCAGCACCGTTTGCAGAATGGGACTTTGGGCGGGCTCAGCAGGGCAGAGACAGCCTGGACCATTCCTATTGGCTTTGGAAAGCCAATAGAATTAGACTCTATTCAAGAGAGTCTCTTCTATTGGCTTTCAAAAGCCAATAGAATAAAAGGGAGTAGCACAGCTAAGGAAAAGAGGGAAAAAATGGCGGACTGCGTTGTTTGGCAACCCCCGTGAAATGGTCGTTCGACCCCAAATGGGGTCCCGACCCACAGGTGGAGAACCACTGTTGTAACCAGTCAACCCCACCGCCCTCGTCCATCCGGCCCCTTCACACGGCCCAATCCCCAGGGACGAATCCACTGTGTGAACGGGGTTGATAAAGGCGCCGTTCCCATGGCAGTCAGCACCTCGCCACCCTCGTCAAGGCTTTCCAAAGCCAATAGGAATTGTCCAGGCTGTCTCTGCCCTGCTGAGCCCGCCAAAAGCCCCATTCTGCAAACGGTGCCGCACCCGTTGAGTCGTCCTCGACTTACGACCGGTTGAGTAGTCCTCGACTTATGACCGGTTGGGGGTCGCGGCATTAAAAAGGTTGAGAACCACTGAGATAGAGGGAAGTGGAGAGGATACATCGTAGCACCCATCGTTCCCCCCCTCTCCGCCAGGATTATGGCCGAACCCGCAAAAACAAAGAAATCACACACACACACACCGACTTAATTTCTACCTAACCACTTTTATGTGTGAATTCCCCTTCTTCCTTATCATTTGTTTGATTAATGCAGACAATGCCAACAGCCGGACATTCTTTTCACCGCAGCCTCAATATTCTTTCGGCTGATTGACGGAGAACGAGGAAGGATGCCACCGCCAGCATTGGAGGGACAGAATCCATGACATGTCACACTCACAATCAGCCACCCTGGCCATCTTCCCTGGTGCTGGATTGGGGGGGAGGGGGCAGACCAGGGCCTCTAAACCAGCCCCCACCCCAAGCCGAATGAACTCTGGGGCGCAGTGGACAGCCGCGAGAAATAATCGATAAAGCAGGGAGCAGATCCTTTGCACAAAAACGGTCACGCCAGGCGAAGGTGGGCAAAGATTGCGAAAAGCAAAGGAAAAGCTGGACCGTGAACCCGGGCCCTGGGACCCCGCCCTCTTCTGTTGGCCGCATGCCAATCGACTTCGGAGCAATCGGCAGGATTCATCTTTGATAAGCTACAAAAGGGAAACCGAGGCACAGATGACAGGTGGAGAGACACGCCTTGTCCCTCGCTGAGCCTGGACAAAGTCCGAGGTGTGCCTGCTTTTTATGGCCCTCTTTATACCTGAGATATCAGGGAGTGCTCACCTGTTTAGGAAGGTGCATCGTTCCCAGCCTTCTGGGAGGGGGGGGGTCCAGGAACTCTTCTAGGGCTGGTGGGGCAGCCCGGCACCCGGATTCCCACTTGGTCCATGGATTCCTTCCTCCCTGTTCGGTTCTCCCACCCCTAGTCTGTGGAATATGACTTAGGGCAGAGTGCGGGGCTAGGGTGGGGATAAGGTGATTCAGATGGGCCTATAGAGCAGTGCTTCTCCACCTGTGGGTCGGGACCCCATTTGGGGCCGAACGACCATTTCACGGGGGTCGCCAAACAACGCAGTCCGCCATTTTTTCCACCCCTTTTCCTTAGCTGTGCTACTCCCTTTTATTCTATTGGTTTTGGAAAGCCAATAGAAGAGACTCTCTCGAAGAGAGTCTAATTCTATGGGCTTTCCAAAGCCAATAGGAATTGTCCAGGCTGTCTCTGCCCTGCTGAGCCCGCCAAAAGTCCCATTCTGCAAACAGGGCTGCACCAGTTGAGTAGTCCTCGACTTACGACCGGTTGAGTAGTCCTCGACTTACGACCGGTTGGGGGTCGCGGCATTAAAAAGGTTGAGAACCACTGCTATAGAGGGTGGATGGAGGGCTGTAGCCAGGCTGCCCTTGGCAAGGAGACCTTCTGATCTGAGGAAGGACACAAGGGGGGGGGCAGTCAGGCTAAGGGCTCCGCCAGGAAATTGGAGGGGGCTGGGGGGGGCAGAGGCTGAGCAGAAGGGGAGGGGGAGGATGGCGGGGCAGTCTGAGCAACAGAGGTCAGGCGGTCCTGGCTGAGAGCCGTGGGGAATGGCTCCAAGTGGGGTGACTTTCATTTCCCCCCCTTTGCAAACGGATCCCGAAGCCCAGCCCTAAGGGCGGGACCCCAAAAGCCTCCGCTCAGCTCAGAGGGGAAAGGGGTTCGGGTGTCTCTTCCTCCGAAGGAGAACCTCCTCCAGTCCGGCTGGCAAGAAAAAAAATCCAGCTCCCACAAAAAAAAAAAAAGAAAAGAAAAGAAAAAAAAAAGAGGTCGAGACTCCAGAAAGAGGGACGAGAGAGAGAGAGAGAGAGAGAGAGAGAGAGAGAGAG